TTTGGAGCTTGTAGGGCCTGAGATTAAGTTCATTTTTTGCAATCAACCGAACACTTTCTCGATTCACTCCGATTTCACGGGCTATTTTTCTGACCGAGACTCTGCAATTCCGAGTGATAAGCTTTTTCACGATCCGCGACGGGGACGGTCATAAACGTGGCCAAGTTCATTAAATCGTTTGTTTTGGTATGCCCAGCAAACGAACAATGTCGCATTGGTGATTTCCTTGTTGAAACAGTTTTAAAATTGCACAACGATTGTTAGACATCTCGAAACAAATATCAAATTGATGGGAATCATAAAAATGTAATTATATTTTTTTCAGAAAAGTACAAGCTCTCGATAAATGCATTTATTTAAGGGCTGCATAATAACACATTTATAATAGATTGTTTCAAAGTTTGTCCGGGTTATTTATTGTCACCCAGTATTATAGACTATCGTAAAGTCTGAATAGCGGGTATGGGGGAACTCTCATTTAATATTTGTAAGCAACGGTGCCGTAAATTTCGTGTTTCAGGAAATAGAACTGAAATCAGTAGACTATATTCTTTAATTGTCAAACGACTGAGAAAAGTATTCTTGGGAAAATCAGTACTAACTTCAAACTCACATGAGAAGCTCGAAATATTTAACAAAAAAAAACGAACTGAAATGGCCGAAAGACCGAAACGCCCACTTTCCTCCTACATGCTGTGGCTCAGCAGTATCCGTGAGTCCATAAAAGAAGATAACCCCGGGATCAAAGTAACCGAGGTGACTAGGAAGGCAGGTGAATTATGGCGTTCAATGACGGACAAGTCGGAGTGGGAGGCCAAGGCTGCCAAGGCCAAGGAGGACTACGTTTGCGCCATGAGGGAGTACAAGGCCAATGGTGGCAGCACTGATGGTCAGCAGATGCGCACTAGACGTTCGAAAATAAGCGTCATTAAAAAGCAGAAAGAACAAGTCTCACGCAGATAGGGATAATGTAACAATTAAGAAGTAAACGAACGAGTAGGCGTAGCACCACCATCTTCAGTGACACGCACAGTATCCTCACAAAAACACTAACATCAAAAAGCTTCAAGCAAATATACAATGTAAAATACAATCAATGTTTTCCCAATGTTGTAAGCGATAATATATTTCCATTCAATAAAAGCTTAAAAAAAAGAAAACAAAAAAAAGGAAAAAGGAACGATCAGTTGTGCCACACAAAACACTTCAACTTAATTTCGTTTCAATTTCACTTTAGGATTCCACACATGCCTGTTCTGAGTTATTTCAAAAACACCGACGATCTTGCTAGTGTTTTGTCTAAAATCAGTAATGAAATCGCACTTTTGCGTGAAAAGTTCGGTTGATACATAAGTGTTGAATTTGTAATTAAACTGCAATTAAAATTATTAATTTATTAATTAATAAACTAAAACATTTCGTGGACTTAATTGGTAAAATGTAGATTTTTATGAAACACAAGTGAAATAACAGGCCTCTTATACAGTAGGCCAAATCGCTTCAGAGTTTTAAAGCTGAGTTTAATTTGCAGTGATGCCCTTTTTTTTCGATTTTAAAGTTCTAATTATTTGAAACCCTATTATTAAGCATTCAATTTTTCTTTGAATTGTGGCTTAATCCTTGATTTTTCACTATTAATTATTAAAAATTTATAAACATTTTAAAAATGTTTGTTATGCAGCATGGCAGTTTATTCAACTTACACCCCAGGTGGTTTTATTTAGAGTGGTTTCAAATAACAATCTGGTATGTGCTTGCAACAAAAATAAGTAATTTTCTTGCTCACAGTTAAGGTTACAATTTATTTTGAACATTTACATATATGTTGAAAAACTTTGGCTTTATAGCACTGGATGAAGTCGGACTAAAACAGTGGTCGGTAGGGCCGAATCTTTGAATTATGTATTGCACCGTGCTGAGGCTTAAGAAAATCATTTCGGCTATAGCGTGCTGCGTTTTTCCGACCTTAAAATGTTTTAGGACTAATTCCCTTTGCTCGATGGTTGTTGGCGTTTCAAAGCTATCGACTTGAAACTTTGCACACACCGTTCCTTCCTTTGCACGCAGTATATATATAAGTCGGAACTGGGATCGGCTGACTATATGCTATGGCTGCCATACAACTGATTGATCGGAAATGCTATAATTTTGGTTTTTTTGAGTTAGTGATTTCGGATTTTGCATGAGTGCTAGTTGTGGTTTTTGGCGCGCTAAATAATAGCACATTTAAAAGTAAGATTGCCAAAGCTCTACTTAACATTTTAAAACTAAGTAAAATGGAAAATATTAGTGGAGGTATGTAAAATTTAAGTGTTTAATTCAATATTTGTTTAATGTGATGTGTCTTTATGTATATGTTCTTTTCTAAAGTTTTATATTAAACAATTTTAATCTAGCATTTTTTGTTTCGTGAAATACACGTAGGTTGGATTGTGCCGAATCATAAAAACTATTAACGCAGTTTCGTTTTTGAATTTATTTACAATACGATAGCATAAACCTTTTTTGATTTAATAAGAAATTTTGTGTATAATTATTTGAGTCTATAGTTATTTGGTTAGTTATCAGTTTAATGCAAATTTATACACATTCCATTCAGTGGTGTCACTTTTTTCTGAGCAAAAAAAGCTGGATCAACGAAACAAAAAAGCTAAAAAAAAGCGGAATACCAGAGAAAAAAAGTTAAGAAAAAAACTGATTTTTATAAGGCAATGTACTGCATGTTATTCACTAATAAGCCCTCAGTTTCACTTAACATAAAATATATGGGTAATTCTCTAACGGATATCATTACAAAGAAACCAAAAAAAAACAATAATGTACAAAAATTAAGATCTATATTATATTTAAGATGTCGTCAATATTATCATCATCATCAGTTGGATAAAATTTCTTGTCTTCAATTGTAGATAGGCAGCTGGGTGGTATATTATAGTTAAAACAGCACATATTGTGTCGACTCAGCCCGTACCTCAAATTTTAAGTAAATTAATTTATAATTTTAAGATACAAATTAAAATATGGACCTTATACTCAGTATAGCGTTTAACGTTTCAACGCTCATGTTATTTCGAATTTTCGGTTTTATTAAATGTACTTGGCTGAATAACCGCTCGACGGCGGCATTCGACCAAGGCAGGACTGCATTTGCAGAGCAACTGAAGCCAATTCCTGAAAACGGCAGTTTCCGCCAGAATCCCGATATTTAAGAACTTCAGCCCAGAACTTAACAGTATCATCGACATTTTCCCACTCTACCATGGTTATGTCGTTGTACAGTCGTTAAATTTTATCTATATTAGGAGTACCAAAATAATCAAGGATTGGAGAGATTTGTTTCTTTTTGATTTTTAAAATATTTTCAACAGAGAATGCATCAAAAAGTAAACAAAAAAAAAAAGCTGCGTAAATTTGCTCAAAAAGCCAGAATTCCCGCTGCCCGCTGTTTTCATGTTTTTCCCGCAATCACGCTTCAAAAAAACCCAGATCTGACGGGAAAAAAGCGGAAATGACACCACTGATTCCATTAGTGTTAGCGTTCAAATTAAACGATATTAGCGCCAAGACAAGACGACGGGCGGTAGTAATACTCAAAAACACCGAAATATCCTTTAAAAATATTGAACCGAAATATCATCACTACTCGTTAGAAGAATAAAAAGCCCACAAGAACAGTTGATCCAACCTACCAAGTTTCATTAGGATCGGCCGAGTATATCCTATAGCTGCCATATAACTGAACGATCGGAAATGACCCAACTTTCGTGTTTTTGAAGATAGAAAGCTGGAACTTGGTACAGATTCTATTCTATATTCCGGTTTTAACTGCAAGGGTATATCAACTTCGGCTCCGCCCGAAGTTAGCTTTCCTTTCTTGTTATAGCTACCCTTGCTGAAGCTTTTTGCAGATCAAAGCTCGAAAGAGAGGCTCTTTGAGAGAATAGATTGAGTCGGAACCTTTTACTTGAGGTGTCAGTTGACATGGAAGGCTTTGGGTCTCAATTAATCGAGGTGACAAGAAAATGTGAAGTGGGTTCCCATTTAAGAATGTTTTGATCTGTTTAGTTTTAATTCACTTAAAAGGAGTGAGAAAGATTTGAGTCGGGATTTCTGTTTACCCAAATATTGTTTTGGTTTTCAATCTGAAGTGACTCTTAATAATTGGAAATCTGAAATGAGGCTGTTTTTACAAAAATTGGAATGAGGCTATTTGCAGCTGCGTTACGAATTTCAATACAAAAGGCTTCAGCTTCGGTTTACAAAATTTACTGATATACACTTAAAGAAATTTTGTTGATATGTTACTATATGTATGTCTTCCCACGCTTCACTCTAGTTCCGGTGTCCTAGCAGATAATTTATGTATTACCAAATCTTTGGAATACTCATTTACAGTTTGAATCTCCTATTTTACTCGTTTATTTTGAGTTTAAATTATAATTGGAATTTCACGGTCTACACAATATACATAATCTTTATTGGCTATTACAGGATCAAACCCACATACATATGTGGCATAAAATCTGCCAAGTCCAAACCACGTTTGAGGGGATTCTGGCCCCATAATTTCCAAAATAACCTTTTCCAATTAACATCAGTTTGGACTCATCTATCAAAGGATATTACGCCACTTGGCAGTTGCTCCTAATATAATGGCTGCATTTGTACATCACACCAGGAAATTCTTCAGATCGGTGATCAGAGATTGGACATCAGAACGAGAGGAAAAGTGTGTCTTTGTGTTTTCGAAAACAGTATTTAAAGACTCCTTTAAGACCCAGATTTTTTAAAAGATTTCTTTCACAGACACACATAATTATTTTCACTTTTCATAATTCATTCTATAACTAATGATAATTAGGTAACTTTAGAATGGAATGGATACTCACTAATTTTACCGATTTCACCTGATGAGGTAAGAAAAAATAAATAAAATTTAAGAAACCTTAAAATCGTATTATTTATTTAAAAAGTAAGCTCAAACTAGCCTTGCAATAAATGTCGTCGGTATTGGGTAGGTCTCAATGGAGAAACAGATTATAGACTTGACAAAAATTAAGTCGATCGAAACATTCATGCTAAACCTCTCAAATACCGGCGACTCATACTTTTTCTTATTTTTTGGAAGTAAGCTCAGAACAAAATTCTATCCGGTAATCTCTCCCCCCTCCGACTAAAATCTCCGATTAAAAACCAAAACAGAGAACCATATTTTGTGCAACTAAAGCAACAAAAACCCAATGCATAAATGAGGCACCAAGTAATTACTCGAACCAATTAGGCGAATAGTAGCAGAAGATATTGACTTTGGAATTAGAGAAGATCAGAGGATACATACACATATATAAGTGACCCTAAAAATACTGAACAGTAGACTTAAAACCAGGGAAATGAACAACCAAGATACGTATTGTTGCGCATTTGATTCGGAAAATTCCTGTCGAAGTAATAACTTTGAGTTCCGGGTAAGTTGGGCCACTTTCAGAACTAACTATCTGGTTTTGGTCACCAATCGTATAATCGCCTTGTAGTTCTCAGGTCCGGAGTCTATTCCAAATGCGGTCAAGCGCTATAATGCTATGCGTGGAGCTGAATTGGCCCAGCTGAGACGTCAACGTGATTCGGGTAAGCACGGTGTAGCCACCATGCCGCGTTTCTGTAAGGTTCGTCGTCCGGGTCAAGATATCACCGGTATGGTCACATCCCGGGATCTGGACGTCGTCACCCAGCTATCCCTAGACTCGGAGCCCATTTCCTATGAGTCCGGGGAGTCCAACGACGAAGAAACCAACTCTTTTGATGCTCGCAAGCGACATGATGAAGTTCAATCGCCAGGAACCTACTCTGTCAATGATCCTCAATCCATGCGCTTGTGCGGCGGAGCTGATGCTGAAGATTTTTCAAAAGCGAAGTCGAAGGGGAAAAAAAAGAATCCTCAGTCGCTGACAAAGCCAAAGAAACGTCGCATCCAGAATACCAAGGATAAATGTCACACGTTCGAGAGACTTGAAGAGCTACACCGCGAGGTCTGTGCCGAGTTGCAATCAATGGAGGAACCCGTACCCCAGAGCCCAGTACCCAACAAGACCACAGCCAAAAAAGCAATGAAGACCCGACGCAGTAAGGTTAAGAAGCCCAAGGTAGAACAGTACAATTTTCGGTCAGGGGACGAGGGCGATGGCGACAGTTCGATGGTCGACCCAAACTTGGTTTCGTTTGAGGACTACCACCATCCGGAAGCCAAGTGGGTGGACATAATGCCATCGGCTATGATGTCACAGGCCATCAAGGTGAACGTTTGCAAGGCCCAGAACGCCACGCCACTTACTGCCTACCAGTTCATGGAACAGCACGGAAGCCTGGAACCGGAGCCACTTGGTCCCTTCTTTCTCGAGGACAGTGATCTGGAGTATGAGTACGCGGATCGCCAGGGCTACTTCCGCTACAGGGAGCCGCGTCCCAGATATCCCTCAAGCGAGTTAGACGCCACCGATACGGACGTGGATCACATCGAGAAAAGGAACGCGCCTTGCTTCGTGGAGCTAGAAAAGCGTCCGTACCGGCTTAGTCTATTGCGAAGTCTTTCGCCCATGAGGTACACCTCCCAGCGATCGGAGGAGACGTTGAGGACTCAGTCACCCGGAGACGAGACTCGTGGGTGCAAGACCCCTAAGGCTCAGAAAATAGATACGTCCTTGTTGGATCTTCAGAGTAGTCCCAAGACTTCCCCCAATAATAAATCGAAGGGCAATGCAACCCAAAAAGCCACCAAGGGACGTACTTGTAAAGGAGCAGGCAACAAGACCCTAGTGACAAAGGGTAACCCCACAGCCAAGGCCAACACCAAACTTCGGACATCAAGGAACCGACGTCCAGTCAAGTCTGGAGTTTTTGGACTAGCAGCAGTATCTGCAGTAGGTGGGGGTTCCGCAGAAATCGCCCCCTCGGCATTCCAGGTTCGTCAGCCTGGTGGTTCCAACATAAACGCATCCATGACGGCCTTGATGACCCAAGCACCCCTCGCCACCTCACCGGAACGTCAGAGTAAGCGTCGTAGGCCCCGAACTGTCGTCTACAGCAAATCTTTGGAGGACTTGAAGTTCGAGAAACTGGGAATCTACAACAAGATCACCATGACCCAGGAGAGAATCATCAACTCCCTGGACAAACTGCAAAACAGTCTCCTGCACCTTCAAGTACCCCATTGCAATGCCCAGGAACGTCAAAAGCGTCAGAGGAATGCCTTCGAGTTTTGTGTGCGCTTTTCAAGGAATTTCCTGTATCCCCTCAAGGGCATGATCGACGATGTCCGGTTTACCTCCGTGGCTAGTTTCAATAGCGCCACTTCCAATGAAGCCTGCCAGCGAGTGGTCTGTGTGTACGGACTGATGCAGCAATCGATTCAGACCTACCAACGTCAACTGCGCTACTTCCTCCTGGAGAAGGTGCCCCAGAAGCTGAGTGCCCTTATTGAAATGATATATACTATGACCAATTGCTGTCTGGACAAGGGAATGCTGGACCGTCACGATCCAGTTGTGGAGTGCCTGTTGGAACGCTGCACTCGGTTTATGAGCTTCATAGAGGACATGCAGGAGGAGCGCTTCAAGCTAGCCAGAGAGACTTTGAGACGCCTTCAGAAACACTGCCACGTCCGAGGACATGCTCATGCTCTGGGGAATCCCCGGCACCACAGTCACAATCGGAGTCATGCGAGGAAGAAGCCCAAGTCCAAGGCTGTTCCACCGAAGAGGGTGCCAACCCAACCCAGGCAGGAGAAGCTGCGTTCCCACGAGCGCTACGACCTCAAGATGTGTCTCAACGACCTGAAGCTCTACGAGCCGCGTTTGGTGCCAAAGGAACATCAGACCGGAAAGAAGAATCAAAACCGCAACCAGAGTCGAGTTCGTCGCATCATTCGAAGCACAACGAATGCAAACTCCAATCCTGTAGGACTTGGCCCGACAATCGTCGAGCTACCGTCCGACCTAGAGCTTCAAAGCAACCGAGAGGAGGTCCAAACCCAAATGCAAATGGGCATGGCCGGCGACAGAGCTATCGTCAGCAGTTCCCTCAGCAATGTAGCGCTGACTGCCCAGGGAGACGCCGTGGCGAACCATTCCCTAGCCTGGCCGGAACCAAGAGTGAAAGAATTCCGGGAGGATCAGCTGCATCAAGCACTTTTGGATGCATTCCGTTTGGTTTCCCGATCGCAAGTCCAACAAGTCTTGGATCCCCTTATGCGATCTCTCGGCGTCGTCCTCAGCGAAAACTTTGGCGAGGGCTTAAGCTCAGGAACAGGACTAAGGCGTTCTGATTCGGGAAACAATTACCACCCCCATGACAACAACCAGTAGAAGATGTCCATGTAACTTCATACATTTCCCTCACATCCAGGACTGTCGGTTCCCCCAAATTGTTCAATCAGTAGTTCTTCTATGCTTCGTACTTTCGTTGGTGAAATGCGAAACTAAATTGTTAAGTATCAAGTACGCTCACAAAATAAACGCTCATTTTATTGGATCATTCATGGAAATAGGAATTTTAAATTGTATTTCGTATGGGGTTTTGTGGACTTGTTGTTTCGTAGAGGAATTCCAAGCGACATAGATCTAACATGGAAATTGGTTTAAACTTTTAAGGTAAAACAATGGTTATTTACTTGTAAGTGTTGGTTTTGAATATTGCTTATAAGTGCAGGTTAATTTATTGATAGCCTTGAAACATACACATGGATGCGATGGTTCACACTTTACTTTAGTTATAGTTTATTCATAGTTTCCCAGTTTAGTTTAGTTTATTTAATTTGGTTTTCATACCATTCTGAATCGAATTTAACGTAGTTCTTATTTTCTGAAGCTCGGTCCTGAGCGTAAGTAATATTTCCTTATTTTTCCTCAATCTCCTTTCGTGACTCCTCCAATCCAAATAAAATTATTCTTAAGACTTTCCTTCAGAGCCTATTCGGATCTTATAACATGTAATCGTCCTCGAAATCCTCCTCCGAGTCACTAAGCTAAAAACTTTTGTAACTGATCACAAAAACTTTTGTAACTGAGGAATAATTTTTTACCTTCACAAGGAATTTGTCGGGCTACATAGTCAACACACAATATTTTTTGGGAGAAACGAATAAAAATAGGATAAAAAAAGATACTCCGCGGAAGTAGGATTAAGAAAGTCTAAATTCTGGCGGAGACGAAGTTAATATACCCTTGCAGTTAATATCGGATATACAATCGCAAACATCGGTTGATTGGTTGACCTTTATGAGAATATCATAATATAACCAATTTACTACAATAAAAAATCGGAAAAAAGTCCCAAGCTTCTATCTTCAAAAATACCAAAGTTGGTATTTTTACCAAATAAAAAAAAACCAATTACCAATTTTTTGTTTTACCAATTTTTACCAAAAAAATTAGTTTTTTTCATTTATTTTTTGTAATAAATGTTGTTATTTTTTGTTAAAATTTGTTATTTTATGATTTTCTCATAAAAAACTATAAAAAACGGTTTTCTCGGCCAACTATATTCGACTTTTGCGATTTATATCTGGCATATCAACTTAGCTTTCCTTTCTTGTTATTTTTTTATTGTAATAAATTGGTTACTATATTATGATATTCTCATGAGGGTTTAAATTGGTTTAAACTGTATCCAATGTTTGCGATATATATCCGGTTGTAACTGCAAGGGTACATAAACTTCGCCTTCGCTCGAAGTTAGCTTTCCTTTCTTGTTTAATTTTATTCTTTAATAAAAAAAAAACACCCGTTCATCCATCAAAGAACAATCCATTCTTTAATGCCACCAAAAATCTTTTTAATATTTTAAATAAACGTTTTTCCATATACATAGATATGTATAGGATAGCTATGGTTAGCCGTAGGACAGTTAGGACCTAATACTTTGGTGAGAAGGGCAAAGGTGAGAAGGGCGTGCGCAAAATACCAAAGTAATCAAGTCCCTTATTGGCTTACTTCTGCCAATAATAAATATTTCAGTAAAAATAATAATATATAATATTATATATACATATTTACATATACCCTTCCCGAAGCTGTGAGCGAAAGCTTTCAAAAAGCTTTTATTCTCTGTGTGAAAAAAATTTAAATCATAAATAATCATTATATTTGATAGTTGACATAAAACATATTTAGTAAATAACTTAATACACACATTTTTTAATTGCCAAAGATAAGGCGACTTTAACGTGATGGGAAAAAGCTTAAAAAGTATTTTTCAAGGTATGTACATATATGTACGTATATGCATACATATTATTCCCGATTATTATACACGTCATTGTACGATCTCCGTACAATGACGTGTATAATTGGGCTTCTTGTTGTTTAAGAAAAATAGAAGAAGAATATACAAAATTATTTTTTCTTATCAAATGATTTTTGATCTTTGACATCACATCCGTATGCATTCGATCATAGGCACTTATAGCCCCTATTCCGAAGAAAGCACTCGCATGGAGACTGATCGTCTTATCAGAAACCTTCAAGCTCAAGCTGGATGATTTAAAAAGCCGGAGCCACGAGTCTCACAGCATCAGTTGAAATTTTCCAAGTGACTCTTAAAGATGAAAGTTTCGTTCAAACTCTAAATTAATAAATTTGACTATCTCGATATTATAATAAATAAAAAATATGAGGAAATCGAGCTATTAAAATATCAAAATAAGGATCTAAAAGAGGACATTGAGCTTAGAATGTTAAAAAATAAATTTAGCAAAGGCAGTGAACAAATTGGAGAAATAATAAAAGCTGGAGCAAAGTTAACAAACCAGCTGGCTTGTATTAATAATCAAAGGAAGTCGGAAACAACAACCCAAGGTATGCTTATAATGTCCTGTAATTTGCAAATTAGAACATCGAATGCCTTAGCTCTTTCAGATAGTTGCTCACGAAGCCAAAATGAAACCTATTTAAATATCAACTATATGGATTATGCAACTGGATTTGAAGAAGTCGGAATGGATGATTGCGATGAGTTCCACATAGGACTCGATAGATTCCTCCTTGTGCGATACCTTTATGAAATTATATGTTAAATGTGACAACTTTGCTGTTGGGAATCTAAGCGAAGGATTTATGGTAAAAGATACTGGCGTGTGTTCAAAATGTATTACCACTTCTTATTCAAATTCATATAATCAATCATCCATATATCGAAAATGTAGTACCCTTCCTATGGCTTAGGTATGAGTCTCCAGAACACACTCCAGTATCTTTCACCTTATATCCTTCGCTTCGATTGCCAACAACAAAGTTGTCACATTTAACGTATAATTCCATAAAGATATCTCATGAGGCTTTCCAAGATTGATTTCAATCTAATCGTAATTTGACAATGGAATTAGGCTTTGGCTGGTAGTTCGATTCTATGTGAGTATTTTTGTCTTATTTTGTTATAACCTGCAGAGTGTATTATCATTTTGGTCAAAAGTACGCAGTAAACACATCGAAGACATCTCCGACATTGTTTGTAGATATGTATGTACATATGTCGGCGAAGGAGGGTTAGATTCATCCGCCATTTTATATTTTTCTAGCGAGTCTCAATGATCTTTCTACGTCCGTAAAAAAATACTTTATTAATTAATATAACAAGAAAAAAATTTACGAATCTACAAAAAAGAAAAAACTTTTTATATGAAACTAAAAAAAAAGCAATTCTGGCGTCGAAGCTTATTTCGTGCCAAAACAATGAGCTATTAAATATTATATGTATGTATGTACTTCTTAAATTTAATATTTTGTCAGGCCTCCCTTTTGATTTTTTACTGCTTGTATTTGTTTCCCGTAGATTGCATAACTTTTGTGGTTTCAACAGGAATTTTCCTCGAACTTGAGCCCATTTTTGTTCGTTTTTTTGCTTTATCGAATCGCCTGGTCCAAAATCTCAAACAAATTCTCAATAACGTTAAGGTGTGGAGACTGTGCTGGTGTTTTTATTACATGTGCTTGGGTTCATTGTCTTGTAACCCTAAATCGGTCCAGTATACCAAAGTTTTCTGCGCTTTGTGCTAAATTTTCTTTTAAACATTGAGGTACACTTTAGCATCCATAATTTCGTCACTGAAAACCAATCTTGAGTCAACATAAGCACGTCCAGACGTATTGTCTGTTTCGAGCTAGTTATTAAGATATCAACTTGAAACTTTGGACACATCCCTTTTTCCATTGTAGTACATAAGTCGGAACGGCCAGGATCTGCCGACTGTATCCTCTAGCTGCCATATACATAGTAAATGATTGATAGTAAGTGTCATAACTTTCGTATTTACAAAGATAGAAGCTTCCTTTCTTGTTATTACATTGTCAATACAATCCTATAGATTTTTTTTTTGACCAACTGACAGAATTTACTCAATCCTTTCTTGTTTTACCTTTTATTTAATCTGTAAAAGTATATTTTTAAAATAAGTTATTTTAAATAACAGATACGAAATAATATTTTTTGTAAAATCTTTCATTTGATAGAACTTTTGCCGACATGGTGTGTACTTCTGTAAAAATTCATATCCGAAGAAAAAACTAAAAGAGACGAACAGCGATTTTTAATGGCCATGTGATAATTTTGGATGAAAAATAGCCCGAATATTAAATAATATTAATTTAAATCTAATTTTATTTGTAAGATAGAATCGATAATTCCTATACCTTTATACATACATTAAATGTGTAAAATAAACATAATAAACACTGTATATACATATACGAGTACATACTAGACATCTGCATGGATCCACTTCCGGTAATTGATTAAATGAATTAATTCGGCGGGACGGTAACGGAACTACGTGTACATGTAATGCATGTTCAAACTATCTACTACTATATACTATGAACTATACTACTATGTACAATAAACCACATACATACATACTTTGTTTGTATTTAAATATAAATAAATTAAATAAATTTAAATATGAAATACATTATCACATATTTAAATATATTTAATGTGCTATTAGCTTAATTTGTTTGTATTGTGTTATAGTATCAAGGGACTGCAAAACTAATTATGAATTAAAAAGAAACAAAAGTAAAACTTAGTTCTTAATTTTAAAAATTAAAGTCAAAACTTATTATTTTTTTAGGGATGAAATCTATGTACCTTTAGATACATATTAGCATATAAATATATATTTTTCACATTAATACTTTTTGGGATAAGTATATTATATACTTTTCGTTTGGGGAAAAAAACAACCGAAACCCACCTACCAGAGAGCTGCAACGAGTATGACAACTTACTGGACAATCATTACATTGTTTCACGGTAAACTTGGCTTAAGGTTAAATTAATGTAATGTAATGTAATGATTAGGGATTCGTCCAGATTAATCCATTAGTGTTCCAGATCGTGATATCTAATCCCGTTTGTATAGTGATTTGAAAAGGGTAGCCATCATCTGGGTCATTTGGTTCATGACCTTCTCTATCATGCGCTCAAACATGGCCTCCATACTAGCCATTTTAGCGTTCAGTGGACTGCCTGACGGGATTAGATGGTCGTTGGGATTGGTCTTGGCTTGTAGGGCAACGTATCTTACTGCACGGGCGTAGCTTACGTTGGGTTCGATCCTGCTTGCCCTGTGGTCGATCCTGCTAAAGTGGGGAAAACACTCTTCGCCCTCTCGTAGGATGGGAAGCCTTTGTATGGGGGTCCATGTGGGCCGTCGGAATGGAGGCAGAGGGCCGGTTCGCTGGCGTCCTTTTTGCATTCAGCAGTCGAGTGCTCGCCTTCACACTTATCGCTCGAACTGGCAATATCTATGGGTGTGCGCGAAGCTTTGGCACCGGAATTGTATGTATTTGTATCCCATGTATTATATATCGTATTATGTTGTATACCCCTAACCCAATAAAAGAATAGATTAAGTTATTTGTTTTAGTTTATTTTGTAAGAGATATCAACAATGGTTCAAGATTAAATTGCATTTGTATTTATCATTTATCAGATACATTGTCCCGAAAACGATGAAGATAATTTACATATATCGAGGGAGATACAGGGAAGTAGCAGAGCTAGAGGGGGAACAAGACATTGAAGAGAGAGAAAAAGACAAACAACAGTCGCTTGCGCGGTGCTTCTACCAAAAAGTATTACAATTATTTAAAGCATTAGCATTGTGTCCTCTATTCGCTTCTCCGCCTTCTAATTTCCATTAGCAGTGTATTCTGTGTGTTTTAGTTTGTTGCTCGTCCACACCTCGAATGCGTTTTTTGTGTTCCTGTCTATCCAATTTCTATTTTTAAGTTTCCAATTTGCATTTTTAAATTTTCATTTCATTCTCAACACGAAGGCGGGGAGGCCTCCAATACCTGGATCCTTTTGGCTAGCTCTTGACAAATTGGATGACTACAAATACCATTATAATAGATAGTAAATAATGTACATAGACTTCGATTTCGATGCGAATGGTTCCGTGTGTGTGTGTTGTCCGGACTCTGGCATCCGGAGGCGGCTCCGATTCTTAGCCGGAGCATTCCGTGCACAAGGGCTTGTTTTCCTCCACGGCAAAGGTGCTGGCCGTGATGGGAGTGGCGCATTTCTGCAGGAAGGTTTATACAATTAGTAATAGCTCTGATATTTAATAATAATTATTTAATAATATTTTAATATTTAATAATATAAATTTTAAAACTTGATCCAATGAACTGATGGACTTAAATATTTTTTACAGAAATAACTTCAATGTCAGCAAGCAGTGACTTAATTTAAATTTTTTTAAAATATTCAGAAATTGTATTGTGCTGAGAGCAGGAGAGAACTTTAAAAAATCGTATGAAAGCAAAAAATAAATTATTTTTTGGAAAAATATGAATAAAATTAACAATAAAATAATAATGATAATAATGAAACAAGAAAGGAAAGCTAACTTCGGGCGGAGCCAAAGTTGATATACCCTTGCAGTTAAAACCGGATATATATTGCAAACATCGGATATAGTTGGCCGATCCTAATGAAATTTGGTAGGTTAGATTAACTGACCAAACCAAAACTAGAATCTGTACCAAGCTCCAGCTTTCTATCTTCAAAAACACAAAAGTTGGGTCAATTCCGATCCTTCAGTTATATGGCAGCTATAGGATATAGTCGGCCGATCCTTATGAAATTTGGTAGGTTGGATCAACTGACCAAAAATAGAATCTGTATTAAATTCCAGCTTTCTATTTTCAAAAACACGAAAGTTGGGTCATTTCCGATCGTTCAGTTATATGGCAGCTATAAGATATAGTCGGCCGATCCTTATGAAATTCGGCACGTCGTTATTATTTTGCCAAAAATAGCTTTCATGTCAAATTTGAACTCTCTAACTCTAAAAACACCAAAGTTATACCATTTCCGATCAATCAGTTATATGGCAGCTATAGGATATAGTCGACCGATCCCGGTCGTTCCGACTTATATACTGCGTGCAAAGAAAAGAAGGGTGTGTATCCTGATCAAGAATATATATACTTTATAGGGTCGGAGATGTCTCCTTCACTGCGTTGCACACTTTTGGACAAAATTATAATACCCTCTGCAAGGGTATAAAAATTCGGACATCTCTCTTTTATGTAGTTGAACAAAGTATTTTAAGTATCCTTAGTAATTTCTCAATTCCTAAATATTTTTATATATGTATTCTCAAAATACTCCCGCAAGAGCCCCTGAAATGCGCTCTCCAAAAATCAAAGTCCTATATAATACCTTATTAGTAAAAATTATAATCCGTTTGCTATTCCTATGTATCATGCTTTAGCTTTAGTCTTGTTTATTGGATCAGATGAAAGTACCGCCTTTCATAAATGACTGCCTGGAGGCACTGTAGTTGACTCACCTTGCACTTGAAGCAGTCGCGGTGCCATTTGGCGTTCAAGGCGACGATCGCATTGTCGGTGATCGGGAGAGTGCAGCCGGCGCAGCGGGCGGCGAAGAGCTGCTCGAAGTCCGCGCGGCAGTAGGGGTGGCCGTCGCGCTCGTAGAAGGAGGTGCCCACCAGCGGCTTCTTGCAGGGGCCGTTGCACACGAAGCACTCCTCGTGCCATGACTGCTCCATGGCCTTGATGGTGCGCTGAGAAGTGAGTGGAAAAGTGGGTCAGAAATCGAAAATGAGCCAGTTGGTTAGTATACTTTTGTGCTGTTGAAGTATTTCAGTGTTTGTTCGTTACACATATTGAGAGATATTTATATATAATCATAATCAAAGCCAATCAATCGTGCCCACACCCACACCTACGCCCACAAATGGGGTGCACTGACCTTGCCCCAAATGGCCGCAAACAGAAAATTGGCAAGGAGAGTCTATTTTATCCAAATAGAATGCCAAATGCTCTTTAATTTGCGTATTACTTATATAATATATTTCATATATTTTATATATTATAAATATTGAGGTAATTGAGGTAGGAAAATATATACACTCATAAAAAAGGTTTTTAATAAAGGATTTTTTGTTTAAATATATATGTTCTTCCTTCTTAATAATTTAGCATTATAAACAATCCGTTTTCCATTCAAAAAAAAAAAAAAAACTTTTATTACTTTGGCTAAAAATTGAATTGCCTATAAAAACCCTCAAATACCCGTTTTAAAAAAGTAATACCATTTCAAAAATCTCTCAGAATCGAGGAAGAACTTTAAGGTATTTGAAAAATAAACATCAATCGAACCAAATTCTCAAAAGCAATAAAAATGTATTTTGCAATCTTGTAGAGGGTTTTAAATCACTAAAGATTCTCGAAAACCCCGCAATTACATAATTTAAAAACAAAAACTATGTGATTTAGTGCGCTTTGCACAAAACTCAGCACAACTTTCCCGGAAATCTGGTAGATACTTTTCCGGCAACAGTTGTCCGTTTTCAAGATACAATTGAATCTAAGAGTCTAAATATAGACAGAATTCGCAATCACTTCCTTAATTAAATTGTAGATGAGCAAATTTGCAGAGATATCTGAACAGTTTTATGGCACGGCGTTTCTGGGTAAATGTTGACAATATTCATTACATTATTCCGAGGTCGTAAAGTGGCAGAGTTTATGGCAAACAGACGATCAGACCTATGAGATACACCTGGGAGATAGATATGTTTCCACAATACAAAAGAATCGATGCGATACTTGGTTACTTTGGTGGTTAAAAATACTAAACAAGCCGGAATGGGAAAGCTTTAAGAAACCTTTAAACCATTTTTGATAGATTTTTTTAGTTTTTGATTTTAAATTAAATAGTTTATGGAAAACTTATTTTGAGAAAAGTAACTCAAAAATTGCCAAATATTAAACAATATATTTTTATTTTTTTTCTAACTATGCTTATAATTTATCTAAAATTTTAAAGTGTGCTGAATTTCAAATAAAACTTTTTATTAAATTTGAATTTTTTCAATAATTTTAATAATTAATGAATAATAAGTTAATTTTATAATTCCTGGAAGGTTAGAAACGGGTGACGAATGCACTTACTAAGCATACAATTTAAGAAATCAGTTTGATGTTTCCGTTTTGGTGACGAAAAAAAACCGTGTGATGGATTTTTTTAGATAGTTATTTTAAATTTTGAGTTTGTCTTTTACTTTTATAGATTTAGAATATTGAACTTTCCGAATATGAATTATTTAACAAGTTATGAAAATGTTAGTAATATTTTGGAGAAAGTAATATCTGTTTGAATAGAATTCACACTAAGTATTTAAACTTACAGTATTCTTAAAGTAATCCCTTACCTCTAGAATGGGCTTCTTGCAGCCATGGCAGGTGCCGGAGTAGATCTTGACGAAGCAGTCAGAGCAGACGGGCTCTCCGTCCTGGATGTTGAAAGTGGCCTCGGTGATGGGGCAGAGGCATTCCTTGCAGGCGAAGTGCTCTGGGTGCCAGGTCTTGCCTAGAGCCGTGATGATCCGCTGCTGGATGACCTCATTGCACTTGTGACAGACGGATGGCTCCGACTGGGAGGGAGGAACAGAATTTCAACTCAAATTAAAATAAATTTCAAATGGAAATCACGTACATAAAATATTTCATAATACACCATCCGCTGGCATCTTTTCTTTATGTTTTTTTGTGTGTCTCTGACAAATCATACTCAAATCGAGTTCAAAAACCGCAAAAGACAGCTGCTAGCGCGATTTTACGTAACCTAATACCCAACTGTTGATTCTCGATTCCCAACACCAACTCAAATGCCAAAGGCCTCCCCACAAAGAACCCCTCCGGCACATGAATATGCATATAAAATATATATAAATATGTATCTCTTCATATATTAATATACTTGTCTGCCACAATAAATGATGAGAATCGGCGTAAAATCGTTTACAAAGCAGAAAAATAATAACATATTATACAATAATGAGTTGTCCCCGCGGGTTGCTATCACAGTTCTATGGAGCGGAATATTTGAAATGGGATTATTAAATAATAAATGATCTTTTAGTCATTTTTCAAGTGTATAGTGCATGTAGTTAGTGTTAGTTAATTACTTAAATTTTTTCCATTTTTTATACGGATTTAATTTTTAACAAAAGCTTCTTGACAAAAAAAGTATTTTTATTAAGAACTTTATATTTTAGAAAAAAAAAAAATGAAGATAGATTCTCAAATATTCGAATTAAATTATCAAAAATAATACTTAAAGGTATTGCCATTCTTCTATATTTTCACTATTGAATTTATTTTATTATTTTTAATGGGAGTCCTACTAATACTCTCTAATCTTTAAGGTTTGAAAAAATTAATGTAGTTTTAAACTAATGCCTTCATCTTGTTGCCTTGTAAATTGAGAAAAAGATTGATTTTCATACAGAAGGTACACCTTCCCACAGACGCTTCGCTTTTTTTAAATGTATATAAATAATTGACCTGATACCAAAATGTTGCTAAGGATCAGCTAAATATATCTTGCAACACTGGAATTTGACTGCAAGAATACATATGTACGTAATCTTTCCTATCGTTGTATAAAAATGTTTCATAATATTATGGCTGTTAAACTTTCAAATGTTCGTAGTAAATTTCTTAATAAACTTTTAGAAATCTAAAAAAATATGCCTAAAATAATTTGATTTCATTCAATCCTTTTTTTTTTATAAATATAAAAAATGTCAAGTACAAATATTAAAATTTTTTAGGGATATAGAAATTTGAATCAGTATATATCAGTATATATTATCAGAACTAATCATTTTTTACAATTTATGTAAAAAATTTTAAGTTGTAACTATCATATACTCCCTCCATATAAGAGAAACTAAAATACTTTAGATTATGCAGTTTCATAGATACAAATTGTACGGAATACCAATGAAAGTTGACCCCAAAAGTATGCACCTAAAGCCAAAAATTATAAAACCAATTCCAAAAAAGAAACCCTAACCAAAATCTGTGGAAATTGTTTACCTTTTGTAAAACAATCAAGGCATTAGGCCCTAAGTATGGCCAACATTAAGGCCAAATTCAGTTCGAATTAACATTAACTAGCTTAGCACGTTTTGGCCATTAACACCTAGGATTAAGGAGGCCACCCAAGGAGTCTTAGCCAAAGGCCAAGCCCCATTTTAGCCAAGTTAGGAGCCCAAGCCAACAAAGACAAATGGCCTATAAAACCGCAACGATTTCACATAAAAATTGCAATTGAATAAAATGCATAAATTATGATGAAAATAAAGTGAAATATCCGCGAGGTGTTTTGCTTTTCCATTTTCGCTTGGCGATTTTATTTACAATTTCTGGCAGCGGTTTGTGGCAATTTCCAAAAATTTAATTTGAACAAATTAAACGCACATTAAGTTTTTCGAGCAGCCGATCCCCTCCTCCCCCGCCGTTACCTCTCTTAGCTCACTTAGTTCTTAATTTTTTTTTTTGCTTGTTTAAAGTTTCTGCGCCAGATGTAGAAACAACAATCATTTCTTTTTGCATTAGACGACGTCTCACTTAGATCATCGCTAGAGTTAGAATTCAAATTAAACAAACACGCACACACACCGCCGACGGAAAGAGATGGCAGTACAAAAAATGAAAGAGACGGGCCTATCAGGAGTGGGCCTTTTCAGGGGGCCAAGGGCATTGCCTTCTCGCTCTCACTTCGCACTTCAAATAAATGCCTTTTCCTGCCCAAATAACAAAAAACAACAAACAACAATAAAACAATAGCAAATGCCCACAAAACAAATAAAAAATACACATTTTGTTTTCAGTGTTAAATGAGCAAACAAAATAAGAGAAAAAACAAGAAAGGAAAGCTAACTTCGGGCGGAGCCGAAGTTTATATACCCTTGCAGCTAAAACCGGATATATATCGCAAACATCGGATATAGTTGGCCGATCCTTATGAAATTTGGTAGGATGGATCAAAATTTAATCTGTACCAAGTTCCAGCTTTCTATCTTCAAAAACACGAAAGTTGGGTCATTTCCGATCGTTCAGTTATATGGCAGCTATAGGATATAGTCGGCCGATCCTTATGAAATTTGGTACGTTGGATCAACTGACCAAAAATAGAATCTGTATTAAATTTCAGCTTTCTATCTTCAAAAAAACGAAAGTTGGGTCATTTCCGATCGTTCAGTTATATGGCAGCTATAAGATATAGTCGGCCGATCCTTATGAAATTTGGCATGTCGTAATGTTTTGCCAAAAATAGCACTCATGTCAAATTTGAACTCTCTAACTCTAAAAACACCGAAGTTATACCATTTCCGATCAATCAGTTATATGGCAGCTATAGGATATAGTCGGCCGATCCAGGCCGTTCCGACTTATATACTGCGTGCAAAAGAAAGAAGGGTGTGTGCAAAGTTTCAAGTCGATAGCTTTAAAACTGAGAGACTAGTTTGCGTAGAAACAGACAGACGGACAGACGGACAGACGGACAGACGGACAGACGGACAGACGGACAGACGGACATGCTCATATCAACTCAGGAGGTGATCCTGATCAAGAATATATATACTTTATAGGGTCGGAGATGTCTCCTTCACTGCGTTGCACACTTTTGGACAAAATTATAATACCCTCTGCAAGGGTATAAAAATTAAGTGGCATTGTATCCACCGAGTGCTACCAAAAAAGTAAATCGAACAATTGATGCCTCTTTTGGGGATTCGAAAGTCTGGCAGATTTTTGTTAAAAAACAATAATATTTTATAAACAAAAAAATTGAATATCAATAAATATATTAATACGTATATAATTTTAGCTGTGGTTTCTGTATTTATTATAAAATTTAATATTTTTATTACAAATTATTCCTGATTTATTGAGTTGAGTCACTTAAATCAATGATATACATATATCTAAAAAAGAAATTCAATATAATCATCGATTTGATTTGAAATATAAATGATCCATAACTTATACATTTTACTCAAAATTATTAATAATACGAAAGACGCATAGCCTTAAAAGGCTTACTTAGTAATCAAAAAGGGTTCATTTCATATAAATCATATGATTTATTATTCATTTAATTTATGGAAAACTAAGTATAAACTTTAATCATAAATTAAAAAATTCCATATGAAATACGACAAAACCCTTTGAAAACACCAATACTTTTAGGTCTGAAAATGAATTTATAAAAAACACAAAATTATACCCAAACAAGAAAGGAAAGCTAACTTCGGGCGGAGCCGAAGTTTATATACCCTTGCAGCTAAAACCGGATATATATCGCAAACATCGGATATAGTTGGCCGATCCTTATGAAATTTGGTAGGATGGATCAAAATTTAATCTGTACCAAGTTCCAGCTTTCTATCTTCAAAAACACGAAAGTTGGGTCATTTCCGATCGTTCAGTTATATGGCAGCTATAGGATATAGTCGGCCGATCCTTATGAAATTTGGTACGTTGGATCAACTGACCAAAAATAGAATCTGTATTAAATTTCAGCTTTCTATCTTCAAAAAAACGAAAGTTGGGTCATTTCCGATCGTTCAGTTATATGGCAGCTATAAGATATAGTCGGCCGATCCTTATGAAATTTGGCATGTCGTAATGTTTTGCCAAAAATAGCACTCATGTCAAATTTGAACTCTCTAACTCTAAAAACACCGAAGTTATACCATTTCCGATCAATCAGTTATATGGCAGCTATAGGATATAGTCGGCCGATCCAGGCCGTTCCGACTTATATACTGCGTGCAAAAGAAAGAAGGGTGTGTGCAAAGTTTCAAGTCGATAGCTTTAAAACTGAGAGACTAGTTTGCGTAGAAACAGACAGACGGACAGACGGACAGACGGACAGACGGACAGACGGACAGACGGACATGCTCATATCAACTCAGGAGGTGATCCTGATCAAGAATATATATACTTTATAGGGTCGGAGATGTCTCCTTCACTGCGTTGCACACTTTTGGACAAAATTATAATACCCTCTGCAAGGGTATAATAAAACTAACAAAAAATATAAAATTTATGAATCATAAATATCTAAATACTACTACAATAGACAAGGTTAGTCTAAATCTTGGGCATACTTTGTATGCATATTACAAAAAAATAAATTTAAAGCAAAAAGTTATATGTATATATATATAATTAATATAATTTTTATGACTTATAATTTTCATCCTTAGAGATCTGAGAGAAAGCTTTATGTAGAAGTCATAGTTAACCCTTGTTTGGCACGATTTTAACAGCACTTAACCCACTGCCTGCAACCTGGGATGTGTTTGTCTTTGCAACGCAGTTCAGCTTGAATTGTAATTTTCGTATTTACGAGCTTTTTGCTTTTCTGTTGATGATTTACATTTCTTATCAGTAAATTGCCGTAATATTTCCAGCGATTTTTTCATATTTTCCTGAAAAGGCTAGCACACCAAAGATACAACAACAACTGCAGCAACACTAAAGAAAATGCATTATATTTAAAAAGAAAAACAATTGAAACAAACAAAAACAAATAATTACAATACTTCATAGGCTACCGCGGAATTATTCACATTTATGGGCGATAATTAAAATATGAATCATTTCAACACCATTAGTGCGAAAGAGAGGGAGAAAATAGAAAGAGATGGGGATAGAGGAGTAAAGTGCTCTGCTTTTTTGGGTTTTTCTCCTCGGCCATCAATCAAAGGTGTCGATCATCAGGTCGGCGGTGGATGAGGGCACCACATTTGGCCTGTTGCCTTGGATCAGATGTAGTACTGTGTGGCAGACGCCTCCAAAAAAAAGCGGCAGAAACCACTCACCACCCCAGCTGCCTCCCCCACCATCATCTTCCTATCTTCGCGAAGCACACACTGCGTATACGTAATGGCCATAAAATAATTTAAACTGTGAGCGAAATGCCGAAATGGGTTTGCAATATATGGTCAATTGTATATAAATAAGATAATCTGCAGATCGCACTGAACCACTGAAAACTAGCGGATATAATAGAAATTTTGTATCCCTAGGTAATTACCATTACTCGATCAGATAAAAGGGCTACGAAATAGTCTAAATGGATATTTCGAATAGCCAGAGGCTGATTATTATGCGTGGTACTCGGATCTTTCGAATAATTTCGCGCCTAAAAATCTAAAAATCATATTTGCTTTCAAAATAGACAAAAAGTCTTTGGGAAATGAATAAAAAGCCTACAGCAATGTAAACAAATATTATAAATAGCCAACAGCTGACTATTGCCAATCTGGAATCATTAACTCGAGACTTGTCGTGATTCATGAGTAATACTCAAATTTTTCTGGGGGTTTTATGGGTAAGACTTCCAATAAAACCAAAACATTTCTACCATTAAATGTATAGAAATATTAAAAATAGATAACAGCTGAGTACTTATTATTTGTGAAATAAAGTTTTATAAATATACGCTTTTTATAGTTGAAATGGTAATACATCTACATTTTAACATTTAGTACTATTGTATATTGATGTAAGAAATTACAAATTCATAAATCTTCAAAATTTAAAAATAAATTTTAAAAAATGTTCCAGTATTCCAATGTCGTACATGGGTATTTGTTAAAGTGAGAAATTTATAGAAGAATTTTTAATATAACTGATATTTTGAAAGGCCTAAAAACCAGAATGATATATAAAAGCTTTATTGACAAAACCCTACATGAATCGCTAATATTAAATATATTCAACGAAAAACCATTATAAGCCAAACAAATGACTGACTGGCCTAAAACTACTTGTTTTTGTGTTTATTTGTGAAAACTAGACAAACAAAGCAACCCAGACAGGGGCAAGTGTGAGGCCAAAACCCTTTGGGCCAAAAGCCAAGCCCACCGACCACAACTAACATTAATCTGCGGCCAGTTAGTCGGGTGAATAAACCAATTCCATTTATCAGTCTTTCTGGCGAGACTTTGGCCAGACCGTCTCCGGTGATCTCCGGCGGGGATCGGTGATGGGTGTTCGGTGATCACTGGTGACTATAATGGCCAAGACAATAACGAACATCCCATCGCCGAGATGACTCTTCAAAACCCTCTGGCTAAGCCTGCTCTGGCCAAGTGCCTGATTTATATGGCTCATTTTATTAAGCGGACAACGAATAAATCGCTTTGTAAATTGATGATATTCTTGTTGAAAAAACGGGGAAAAAAGCAGAAATCAGCGAGTGAGTGAGATGATATCATCGGATCAAAAATATTCCCCGGGCTGGTTGTTTATGGAAAGCATTGGCCCTTAATCCAAAGCTGTGGCTTTCGCCCACTAAACTAACGCCTTTCGAAATTCCAAAAATCTTACATTTTCCCCCGAAAATCGAGTCGTTATAGACACGAAAACTTAAAACGCCCACTTGGCAGGCACTTGGTAACTCTTGAAGATCATTTTTTTCCGTCTGGCTTACCGTTTTGTTTTTATTTTAGTATGGTAATTAACATAAAGTCTAATAAGGCAACGGCAGCCATATTCGAGTGTGCGTGAGTCGTATTTTTGTTTTATTTTTTGGTTTTGTTTTCATAGCCAAAATACCAGATGGATGACAATTTCAGTTTCGCGACTCTGTCGAAAATTCCGCTCACACACTTTTTCCATGAATCTTGGCGCATGGAAAGCTGGAAATCGAATGTCAAAAATCGAAAAACCAAAAACAGAAAGCGGAAAACCCAAACGACACGCTGGACGCAGGCCCACCAATAAATGGGTGGCCAACACGGCGTATGAGCAATCGCCAACCTGTTTGAAAAACGCCCACGCCGGAGATCTTGGACACCGATTGTTTTTTTTTTGGGTTTTCGAGTGGTAATGGTTATGGGAATTTGTTTTGTGGCAGCCAGCTGGACGACCAGTTGGAAAGTGATTTCAATGTTTGTTTCTTTGTAATCGCCACCGACGCCCCCCTTATTTGTATTTTATTTAGTTTTTCAAATTTTTCACTCACCATTTTGTTTTCGGCTTGTTACACTTGCTCCGGTGAATTCTCGTTGAGGTTTGAACTTCAAAAACACAAAAGAACACGACATTAATTAATGGGCTTGCTTGTTTTGAATGAAAAACAACCGTTCGATAGCTAACAAAAAAAGGAAACACACTTTAAATACTAAAAATAATACTTAAAAATAAGTGTTCGATATTTTCATTTTCTAAACTTATTTTCTATTTCTAATCATATTTTCATACTTGTTTTCTAGCAAGAGTCAACTACAAGTTTGTCTTTTGTTTAAAATAATTAGAAACAATGCACCTTGAATATAAATTAAAAAATCACATTTTTTAAAAAATTTTGAAAAAAAAGTTCCGTTAAATAATTTTTATTTTTTAATAATAATTTGTCATAGTGTACATATGTATGTACAAGTATTAAAAAAAATAAACCCAAATCATATCTTTTGGATACATAAACTTTTTGGATTGCAACTCTCTTCCCAAAACTTCACAGTCACACCTCGTCAAAAAAACCAAGTCAAGCACGAAAAAAAAAACAAAGTAACCGGCTAGGAAAAAAACGTCAATGAAAGGCAACTATGAATAAAAAAAACAGACGAAATCAAACAATTTGAGCAATTGCAGCAAATACTAAGTTTTTTCGAGAGCCTCGCGTAGAATTTTTGTTTGTTTATTTTTTGTGTATTGTACAAATTTCAGTTGAAAAAATAAATTATTTAATAAAACGGGATAGAAAGGGCAGCTAATGCAAAATTCGCGAAACGTTGGCAGAGTAGGTCGCAAAAAAAGTACCAGTTAAAAAAAATTTTAAAAAATAGCAAAATAAGGAAAACAAGGGAAAGCACAAACACCGTTTAATCGAAATCGTACAAATATATATTTAATTATATATATTACTTTATCGGATCGAAGTCGAACCGAACCGGCGAGCGTCGGCCAAGAAACTGAAACTGAAACGCTCAGTCGGCGCCTTCAACGGCAGAGCGCCAGCAGCGGCAGCGCAGCAGAAGCGGAGCAGAGCTATGGAGGCGACAGCGACGCAGCGTCTGTTGGCACGCAGGCGCCGCGAAGGCATCGCCCAAAGGAGCGTGCAGCAGCACCACCAGCAAGGGGTGGAGCGGTACATGGGGGATAAGAGCTACCGCACCCCTGGCGCCCTGAACCGGGGCCGGGGGACCGCTTCAGTCGCCAACACTGCCTCCACCTTTGTCGCCGTAGTGCGGCCCAGCAACACCTCCACCCGGATCGGTGCCACACGCACCACCCAACGCAGCGCACACTCCGGCCGAATGACGGTTGCAAAGCCGCCACGTCAGATGCTCAACCCAAAGGTGAGTTCCCAAACTTTTTTATAATTTTAAGACCAATTATACACTCAAAAAAACTGCATAGTCCTTGGCAAACTCCAATCCCTACGAGAACAACATCCCCATCCGCGGGGAGCGACCTCTAGCCCAGCGGAGTAAGTTAGCCGACAACAAGACCCGCAACCGGCCTCTCGCCGAGCAATTTCGTACATCCTTTGGCCGCCAAGCTACCACCACGTTCACCCGCACCCGGACCACTGCCCCCCATCCTACCGGCACCAAGACGCGCTGCAATTTGAAGGCCATCAAGCCCAAGGTCGACTGCCACTTGTGCCCTCCTTCAAAGAGTCACTGTCACGTCCATAGACACGGCTACGCCCACTCCTCTATGCCCAGCCCCCAAACCCTGCCAGGAGGTGGCCAGAACAAGACCCTGGCGGAGGCGCACGAGCAACTGGAGCTGATGCTGACGCGGATCGAGCGGGCGAACGAGTACCTGCCGCAGATGCCGCTGTCAGGACTGCATGCCGGCTGCTCACCCGCCGGCTCTACCCGTCATGGGGCCCGCCGCTTGGGCCCTGGCCAGGGCCAGGGTGCGGCCAGGGTGGCAAAGGGACAGCGGCGGCAGTGGGCGCCAACACCACCGGCTCCAGCCGGGTCGCCGATGGCTAGCGCAAGAGGAACCTATTCCCAAGCGCAGATGAAGATCCGCAGCAGAGTAGGTGAGTGTGCACTGCGAGAGAAAGGGATTTTGTATATTATAGATTTAATTAAATACTTTGTTTTTCTTTACTATATGATACCCGATACTAATCCAAGAAACCAAAATAATGCTCCCTACTTTGTAGGACCTCTGAGTACCGGGTATTATATAAATCACATAAATCACTTCTCTGCTTTCTTTTTAAAAGACAAAGTTATAGGATTCTTTGAGGCATAATGTTAGATAATATATTTACTCTTTTTAGGTAGTAACACTTTGGTGCTTTTATAGACACTTTTAGGCCAAGTCAGTTCGCTAGTTCTTTTTTAAAAACACAATCATTTGTTACACAATCTCATAATTACAATATAATTTGAACTTAATTTTGAATACTTTTATAAAAGATAATTGTATTATAGTATATTGTTATTTTAAATTATTATTTATATTTACAGTTCGGGAATTGGGAGGCGGCTCATCCGGTGACGGATCCGGAACGCAGGACAAGGTCGAGAAGCCGACCGGCATCGTACCGCTCACCTGCAATCCGCAGCATCTGCCGCCGGCGAAGCGGGAAGCGCTGATAAAGCTGTTGCAGGGGGCAGACCAGCACGACAAGGGCATCGTGGACATTGTGCGGGGAGTGACGGGAGATGCGCCACGGGACACCATACTCATGATGCTCCAAATGCTGTAAGTATGCAAATTTTACAATCCACCCACAGATGGGGGTAAGCTTTTAGGTCCGGATAAAAAACATATAAACTAATATTCTATAAAGCGAAACATGAAAAAAATTTACTATTGAACAAAAACTAAAAACTTAAATTTACTTTTAAAATTATTAGTTAAAAAATACATAAATTAAGTTTATATTGAATTTGTTCCGTACTGAATCGTTACTTTATAAAATTTTCTTTTTGTGAATATAATGAAAATATTTATTTTATATTTATGTCAATCCTAACAAAAAAAGTTTGAGAGAGAACTCATCGTATTATTAATATGTTAACACCCTCAAATTATTAGAAAAACATTTTTTTTTTAATGAGTAGGATTAAGGTTTTATGCATTTATTCATTTTTTGTATTCACAAAATTTAAGTATTCTTGGAATCTGAGTACACTTTCTTTACTATTTCCTTGCCCCCAAGTGTGCTCAGCCGCAGCACTGGGTTGCTGCGACTGCAGAGCAGCTGAGGCAGAAAGCAGCGCCAAAATGATGTCATCGCCGGCCGTCAGCTGAGAGAGAGTGGGGGAGAGTGGGAGCCTGTGGAGGAGACGAAGAGTAGGAGAATGGGGGAGTGGGAGAGAGTAGGTGTGTGTGGTGGCTCGTTCTCCAGAGCTAGTCAGCTGGCAATGCTCCGCTGACGCCATCGTCTCTGCCGGCGCTCTGCTGCCGCGACTGCTCTGCTACCTGTGGGAGTCAGAGTAGGTGAGTTGGGCAGCGGCAGAGGGGTAGAATGGAGGAGTTACTCACTCACCTCAGCCGGCGTCAAACAAAACAAAATACAAAAAAAATAAAAATAAAAGCAGGAGCAGCAACAAAATTTGTGCTGCTTCTGCTGACTATTGTTTTGGATTTTTTTGTAATACCCGTTACTCCAAAAAGTAAAGGGTATATAAAGTCAGATATAAACAAATTATAAATTTATATGTACATTTTTAAATTATATTTATAAAAATAATTGCAACTGAAGCTTACTACCAATACCATAAAGTTATTGCAACTGAAGCTTACTACCATAAACCAAATAAATTTGAAAAAAAACTTGAAATCGTTACTTAAAACTTTAAAAAGGTAAACAATTTAACGACATAAATGAGAAATTGTTCAGGTTAAACGAGATTATGCATTAAATGTAAAGTACTTTTTCAAAACAAAAATTTAAGAACGGGGCTAGACTGCGTACATGTATTATTGCTACACATTACTCATACGGAATAAACAATATTAATGTTAGTTCTTATTAATTTAAAGTTTTTTTTTTTTTGGTAGAAAAAAATAAAATTATCTTTTCAAAACTTTCAAGCAGGATCATATTCCTATTCTTCAAATCATATTCTTAAATAAATCGAAATAGTCGATCAATACTCAAACATGCGATTTAACTCAAATATATAATTTAACTCGATTTAAATTAATATATTTCACTCACATTTAAAACAGGGTATTTATAGTCTAGACCGTGTAGATTCTAAGCAGTTACTGATAGATTTTTTGTTAACATTGCTTTCAGTGGCATTAGAAGTATTTACAACAACCATTTGGCCCTTCTCTTTATATCCCTCGTGAGTAACTCTCTCTTTCTCTCGTAGCTGTGTTAACTTGGCCAATGCAACTGAGCCGCATTCGAAATATTAGGCACTCGGAAAATATTCTAGTAGAACTTTAAAAAAATTGTCGAAAATAATTTACCAAAAACACAATTGCTTAAATTATTATATATTTTAATATATACATACATACAAATTTGAAGTAAAAAAAGTTAAACTAAATAAAATATCCAATTTTTGAATATTTAAAAAAAAAATGAATACTTCCCAACCATAAACTTTTCCTTTTAGATTAAAATAAACAAACAAACTGGCAACAAAAGTACCATTATTTTCTTTTATTGTATAATAGTTTCTTTTATTAAAGTAAGCTTGAATGGGGTTCTTTATTGATCAGTTATGCATTGATATGATAGTTATTGTTTACTAAATATTTTCTTCATAATGACAACAGTTTTATTAATGAAAATAAAAAATAATGACTGGCGAGCCCAATGATGCACTGGGGTTTAATTTGTGATTTATTATTATTTATTATTTCTATAAAATCGTTAGATTTTTCTTCCAATTGTTGCCAAGTATTAATAACGATTAATTTAGTTGATTAATTCGAGTTTAGTAATGGATTTAAAATATGAATTTGTAATCATAAGTATAAGTGATTTATGATTAGGCTCTTAAACAAATAAATATTTTTCTGTATATTGCAAAGGAATATCGTCTATAATTGTGTAATTTTCCAAAAATAGAATATACATTGGATGGATTAAAATTAAGTTAAGTCTTATTTAAATCTAGCCAAAAGCTCTCTTTAATAGCCAAAAAATTAGAGGATACATTTTTTTGGGAACATCTTAAGCCGTCCATTTATTTTCATATTTATTCAATTGATATTCTCGCCGCCTGAGTTATATCTGGCAGATAGTCTTAGACCGCATCTAACTGTTGATTAGTCACTGAGTAATTAATGACAAGTTCAGGGTCACTTCCCCCCAGAACATACAAATCATATACGTATATTCCAGAGCATCATTTCTTCTCTCCAGTGCTGGTGCTTGTTTTTCGGCTCACTGGGCTTAGCCAGGCTTTGTGCGGTTCTGGTTTTGGGCCATTTTATTGGATCTGCTAATGTCTCATGTCTCACGTTCTGAAGTGTGCAAATTTGCTGTTGCCCGTTTTTTATTCGCAATGTGTGCTTTTGGTTTTTTTTTGCAGTTTGGTCTTCTGCTGATATGAAGAAAACGCTCGTAATCAAATACTACGATCGCCGGGCGCTAATCGACAACAAGTGTATACATATTTCCATATAGTTCTCTATGTACTTGGGCAATCGTCTGATTTTGTAGCGACTATAAATAGCGGTGGTGCCTGTGGCTCGTTGTTCACTTTTACAGCCCTAACCCCTTCGGGCGTTAGATACGCGAATGCTAGGTATGTGCCATATGATATTCCTATAAATCGGTCATTATAGCACCCCTCCGATTCCGTCATTTCTTCAATTTTATCCTTTTTTTGGAAAAGTTTTTCTGCTGGCGATGCGCTTTATTTGTTTGATCAATAAATTCGGCGCTGCCATTTAGCATGCCCCCCCCTAGCATAGGGGATGTCCCCCCTATTGGCCCTGTCTCGCTCTCCCTATCGGCCACCATCTCTTTCTATTGCCGGAGGGTTGCCTCATCAGTGGCTTCTGGCGGGGCTTATTAATTAATTCTTCCACGGTTTTTGGCGTCTCCATTTCCAAGTTTGATTGTGTCATATTATTTACGTGCGCTATCACTGGGATTCCAGGGGAACCAGTGAGGATGGGGGTATTATTTCGGCGAATGCCGGCTCGCGGGGTATCGGTTGGGGGCGTTATGGTGCGGATAGCTCAACCTTAACCCCAGTGACCCAGGCTATGAATAAAGAAGCAACCGAATGAATGACTGAATGAAAAGCGTAATCATACTCTTAGATGGTAACCAGTGGTATTAGCTATATCATGAAGTTAATAACTTTTTCAACTTAACTCCGATTTAGTCCGACTTCGTTACATTATACCAGGTTACATTATTATACTTGGTTACATTATTTTACTTTAACCCTAAAATCAACAATCTTAAAAACTAGAATATTTAAAAATTATTTTTAAAACCTTTGTATTTCAAAACTATTAGCAAAAGATGGCATAAAATATTAAAAAATAAAATTGTGACGAAAGAGAAAGAATTTTAGTACCAAATAATGTGATAATAATTTAAAATACATTTTATTAAAATTAATAATAAGATTTTTAACCTCATAAAAAAAGTTAAAAAGGTAACTATAAACAATGTTAGTGACATTACTATTTTGAAATAATAAGAAAAATAATATTGAACGATACGCTAGAAAGAGTATCCAATAGAAGTTTATCCATTCTGGGATTTGAATGACTGCCTATTTTCGTCATTGGCCTTGAGAGTTTTCCTTACGCTACTATCACTGAAAGAATCGTCGGAGTAAGAGGATGGATAAAAGGGGGTGGATTGGGAGGCCTGGTGCTGCGTGCGTGGGACCAGAGTGTGCAATTCTCGGGGGGGCAAGAAAGGTTGCGTGACGGCAGCCCATATGAAAGCTAATAGCCCCTTGTAGTCCCTTGTATTGTCTTCTCCCAAATGCCAAAGCTGATGCAATAACTCAACTTTATCCGAATGCGAGGAAGTAGACCAAGCCAGCAAAATCAATTTTATAGTGTCATCACAGGGATTAAGGTGTTTAAGGGGCTATTTGGTTTGTCCAATATTTTGTTCCCTTCTTTAGAACCGAGAGTGTAAAAAAAAGATAAATATAATTATAATTGTGGTGCCAAAAGTAAATTGAATAGTTTTATTTATTTTTTGAAGAACGACTTTTCATCCCCATATTTTAAAAATCACAAAATTTAAACCTTTATTTTATAGTACTATTTTTCTTAAACTCAACCAAAAATTCTATATTCCGCAGTCCCCTCAGCTTAAAGGACTCACCCTATGCTGAAAAATTCTGGGAAGGACACCGATATCTGAAGGAGTGCCAGGAGCTGCGCCCGAAGATTCGAACCGAGGAGCGCTTCAAGGATGGTAAGTTACCGCACAGCCCCGACGGACACAACTATTTTTCGCGCAACCTGGAGGACGAGCTGAAAGACGAGAAGCTGGCGCTGGAATACATGGAGTTGGAGATGCGCAGACGGCACCAACACTCAATAGTGCCCCCGGCTATAGAACCTGACGGTGAGAATCCTCTGAACGAGCGGCAGGAGCAGGCAATGCGGGAGCGGGCGGAGCTGGAGGAGCACAAGCAGAAGGTGACCCAGTGCCGAGAGCGACGACGACAGCGGGAGTTCAAGAAACATATGGTCGAGCTGATCAAAGAGCAGACGGACAACGGTCATGCCACAGATGCCAACCTTAGGATTCAAGCGGACGACGTGAAGCAGGAACGCAAACCGATCCAACTTAAGGATCCTCTTTCCGCCGTCGTCCCCTCCGATCCTTGGGAGCAGCTCTGTTGGGAACGGAATCGGTTCCAAGCCCAATGCAAGGGCAGTTGCTTCTACAGTCATTCGCGTAGCCCTGCGCCCTGGAAGGTATATGCCAAGTAAGTACAATAATCAGTCTTTATAATCAATAATCTATCAACATTTATGAAACATAAACATAAACATAAAGCGTTTCCTCGTTATTTTGAAACTCATTTACAGCATTTTGATCCGTTTAAAGGGTACAATTTAAAAGTACATATTTATAGTTAAGACTTATAGATTTTTTAAGTATATTTATTTACAACATTTTTTTTCCTAATGTGTAATATATATTTAAAAAATAATACAATATAATTATACAAATTTCTTTTCAGAGTGGCTGCGAGCCTCAGCACTCATTTAATGGAGAGCATCGATGTTGATTTCAATCGCAGCGTGGCCAGCTACATCAAAGACTTTGTGGCAGGAGGATTGACTATATAGAAGTAGATTTAGTGATAGATCATGCCCGAATCTTTCCGGATAGAGTGCACTCAAATTTTAAACAGATTTCTAAGAACATAACGCAAGTATTTTTATGGTCTATCCCTTTTCTAAACTTTTATCAGATATTAGGATATGCGTTGCATGTCGGTTCCTTCAAAAAATTGAAAGTGTACAGAAATTTTGATACCTGAAAAATTCGGTGGTTGCATAGAAAATACAAATTATTGTAAGTAGTATTTATATGTTGTTTTGAGTCTAAAGCCTAAAAAACACACAGATAAACATAAAATAGTATTTTTCTTTGAGAGCCTAAAGGTATGCTCTTTTTTCTTTAAATATTACATGTATATCTCTTATAAGGATAAACCCATTGTATTTTTAATTATATATGACTAGTGAACATTTTGTTCAAGCTTTTGTAAAATGATTTTCTTTTGCCAGGCCTAAGCGCATAAAATTTATGAATACCTACATCAAGGCACCTTATATGTAACTTATTCCAAAATATTCATTTACCCACCGATAAAGCTCTATGTAGGCCACTAGATGCGTTTGGGTTTGATCTGTGTTCTGGGCTTTGCAAATTACTCGAAATTTTATGTTTTCAGATGAGATGAGGCATCGAAGGCTCCAAAGTTTCATAAAAAACACTAATATAAATTGAAAAGATGAAAAAGTTATTTTCTGTATGGCTAATCAAGGCTTGCACTATTTTTTTTAGGTGACAGGTCTTAAGACTACCACCTTTGGTTCTAAATTTTAAATTTATGCATTTTATGTAGTTTTTTTCCCCAAAAATGGCACTTTTAATGTTTTTTCTATAGATCTTTTATATTTAAATCCTAGAGAAAAATCCAAAAATCCATACTCTATTAGAAACCTTATTAATGGGAATTTGAGGCAGTTCCAATCCGTTGCATTCGTTGCCAAAATATTTTATTGAAAATCCAAAAGTATTAAGAATTAAAGCCGCAAAAAATGCAGCTGATCCGAGTATGTCCGAGTATTTACATTAAAAATTTGTATTTGACCGCAAATAAAATATATTTTGGAATAAACCCTTGCGACCAGTCTAGCATGCTGTAACCGACGATCTGCATTAAATTAATTTCACATCGCAATGTTGTGAGGTATTTTCCATCCATTGAAACAGCCTTTTGTTTTCTCATTTCGGTGAAATGTTATTCTCGTTTAATTGTTCTTCAGAAACTCAATCAAATCAAATTCATCAATTTATACAGGGTGGCAATCTTTGCTTAGCAACTAACTAGTAACTACGGACTAACCTAGCCAATAGGTTCGTACTTAATCGACTTGCTACACAGCTAACGCGGTTAACAACTTCCTGTTAGGGTCGTTAAGTCGGGGAATAGTAAGTTGGTTTGGATGGTTAATGTTTTGTCTGGTGTGTTTGTTGGTTCTTCTGTGCGAAGTGATGTCAACAGTGGCTAGTCGGTGTTAGTCCTCCGGTTTAAACCTACAGACTAAGCTTAATGCTACACTAAGGCTAAGGCGATGCATGCGTGTTTCTTTTGTGTGTTGTGGTATCTCTCTGTCTGTCTCGGGTAATGTGTGGGAAGTAAAAAAAAGTACAATAAATAGGTTGTTCATCCAACTTCGTATCTATCGAGGGCTCATCCACAGGGATCGGGGGGCGGCAGGGGTCCGGGTGGATGGGTGAACGTTTCTCAAAGCAGGTTGGAGCAGCTCTCCTCCGAAACGGCGCAGTTTGTGGAGCGCGGCAGGAACTGGATGTGCTGCCAGGTGGCATTGAATCTGCAAGTGCAACAAACATTTATAACATTTTAATATAAAGTTCCGCTTCTTAAGATCTCAGTCCTTACAGATATCTCTCAGCCAGCTGGCTCTCCACATGCGGCTTGATCCTGGCATAGTCCTTGTCCGCAATGGTGGTACTGCAGTGCTGCTGCATGTAGGCCAAAGTGAAGAGCTCGTTCTCGTTGAAGGACCGCAGGCCGGGAACCCTTAGTCTCCTGGTCAGGCCGAGGGCCTCGTATGTGTTCACCTGGTCGATGCCCGCCCCCTGGATGGCATTGCCGGCGTCGACGGCGCCCACGAAACTGCTCAGAGCCCTGGCCGCCGTCCGCGCGGCACTCAGCGTGACATGGAAGCTCTTCAGGGCGCTGCTGGACAATTCACTCAGCTCGTGGGCCAATCTGGGGGGCTGGCCCGCCGCCAAACAGTTGACGTCCGGCTGGGCGTAGCGGATTTCTGGGACGGCATCGCTTACGTCTACGCTCTGGGCGTTGAACTGCAGCAGGAACGTGGAGAAGTTGTCGATGAGGGCCTCCAGTATGTCGGTTCCAATGCGGGCAAAGTTCACAGCTCTGCACGAAACAGAAAAGGACAGACTCGTGAGCCGGAGACGGTTAGTGTGATTATTACGGCTACTTACACGGGATACCGATAGTCGTAGTAGTTGGAGCTGATGAGCACCCTGGAGACGAGCAGCATGTTGAGCTTGTTGGAGTAGGCGATGGCCTGCGGATCGTCCCTTGTGTACATCTCGGAAACAATGCTGTCAAAGGGAAAGGGATGGCTATAGATCTGCGAGCGTGGATGGCGGATCATGGGACCGCGGAGAAAGTGCAAATAGAAAGTTTCGAGACTCACACATCCAGCATGCCCAAAGTGGTCAGCTTCTTCTCCATGCGCATGCGCCGGAAGGCCCAAATGGACTCCAGGTGCTCCACGAAGTACAGGTTGTTCAACATGAGGTCCGAGTAGTAGTCCGCCAGGTAGTTCGGTTGCTGGAGCACCTCGTCCGGAATGCCAAACTGCAGCCGCATCTCGGTGAGCTTCTTCTGGATGAACTGCCTGGCCGCCGGCTCCAGCCACTGGGCCTGGCCCAACGAGTCCTTCAGCTGGCTCCTCAGGCTGTAGAACATCAGGCGGAGGAACTCTTCGTTGCCATGCGTCTTGTTTAGGCTGCCGCCCCGGGGGGAGGCTACTGAGACTGGTGCCGCCTCGAACTGCTGCCTGGGCGGCTGCTGCTGCAGTGCATCCACCGCGAAGGGCAGCCAGTCCCGCACGACCTTGCTGCAGATCAGCCAGCGGGGGTAGCTGGCAGTCCTGCCGTAAACTGAATGATCGAAGTGCTCTGCCAGGATGCGGTACTCCTTGGACAGGTGGGGCAGCATCTGCCGGGCCAAGGACCACACTATAAAGTTGTTAATGGGTCTGCGGAAAAAATCATAAAATAAAATTAATGAAAGCTAAGATTTTTATGAAAAATATATATGTGTTTCTATGTAACTCCAATTTATGCAATTTTTTATTTATTTTTCTAAATAATTAATCTAGAACACTAGACAGCAAAGCATCATAAATATGAGACTTAAATTAAATTATTATTATACTTAAATTAAAATTAAATTAAATAAATTAACTATAGTGATAGTAGGGACAAAGATCTTCATCTTCAAGTAGAGTCTCTCTACTAATACTTCATCTACTGTCTCCCAGACTACCTATCAAATTTAAGGACCCCACAGTGTCTAGACTACCTCCTACCTACCAAAGGAAATATATTTTATAGAGGCATCTCGGAGGTGTCGCGCTTAGACTAAAATAGGATACAGACATTTAGCCAAGCAGCTGGGTGGGAAACCTGTTAGTCCATACGGTCGAAGTAGACGGGGTTTTCTAGTATAAACCGTCATAACCGTTGTCATAAGTGGTGCAAGATTATTTTAAAAGACTTTCAGTTAAAAGTTAATAAAAAGTTCGAGAAAATTAATAGAGTTCAATTGGTCCTTAGAGACTATGCCCTAACTAAATTGAGGAATTATTCGACCTAATCTTACAAAGATAATACAAATTTTTATTAAATGGTTTTCTCTTCGACTTAGACTTAGATTCAAAGGCTTATATTATATAAAACATATACAAATATTATAATAATATGTACATTTTTTTATTTTTTTAACAAAATAAACTTTTACTAAAACTATAATTTCAACAAAGTACCCTAATCAGTCGTGATGACTATTTTTTAGCCCTACTCACTTTTTGTCCGAAGTGGAGAGCAAAATGGACAAAGCATGCAAAACCTCAACGTCTCGTACCAGCACTTCGGTCTCTTCGGTGATCTTAGTTTTGGGGAAAATGGTCTGCAGAGACTCCAAGATGGGCAGCTGAGAAGGGATGTCCAATTTAAATTATTCATTTATTTATTTTATTGTTAAACTTTTGTTAGCTTACCGAAGGAGCGGTGGTCTTGAGATCCGCCAAACGCATTAGTTTATTCAGCTGGCGATCGCCCGAAGCCTTCGCATCCTCGATGTGCTTCACAATCCGCCTCTCGTAGTGGAAGATGTCATCCGCAAAGAGGTCTGCCTCCCGGGAGACAATGCCTGCAAAAGGAACATTATTATTAAGATTATTATATTTAGGCTCATACAAGAAGGCTATACAAGAAATGGCTCTACAAGTTGTTGGTTTTATATCCAAAATTATATCATACTAGCAAGCCCGAAAGGCCAAAAGTCTTTTTTAATTAAAAAGTAGAATGGTGCTAATACATGTCTTAATGAAATTAAGTTTTTCTACTTTCGCATCTTTTACGCCATTTAATTAATGCATTAATAACAGGCTGAATTTTATTTTAAAATTAATTAATTAAATTAATAAATACATCTATTAAAGCTCAAGCTGGGGTTAAGCTCACCCATATTTATGGCAAAGTCCCTGAGCAGCAGCTTGTAGCCCCGGACCACCTCCTCGTCCACATCGCTGCCATAGAAGTACTTGTCCGGCAGACCGATCTCGCCCTCGTCCAGGGTGATCACATAGTCGTGGGGATGGTTGTAGCCGTTCTCCACACTCACTCTGTAGTAGGGAAATATTCCGTACTTGGTGTGGATGTGGGGCAGAGCCTTCTTGTAGTCCCAGTCCTGAAGTCTCTTGGAGTCGCGGAACGCCTGCCATCCTCCTGCAATCAAGAACGTATATATAGATTATGACCAGAACTATTAGCACCAATTCTAGTTCATTATTTCCGAGGGGAGATCCCCGGCGGTCGGAGACGGGTTGCTAATCGAAATTCCCCAGAACCAAAAGTCCATGAAGTTTGGCAAGAAATCAGTTGCATGTATATTATATATCGTAAAGCATAGATCCGTGTCTATATAAAAATTAAAGTCCGCGTCAAAAAACGGTTTTATATTGTTATGGCTTTGTTTCGCCGGTTTATGACAATTAAAGGCGCTAAAATGTTTGGTTGTTTGAAATTTCCAGGGCGCTCAGTTGTTCGTCCAGCGACTTCTTTTGCAATCATAAAATACCAAACTGACCGAAAATGTAATAAACAAAATAACCCGTGACTAAAGTTGTAAGTTTGAAGTGGAATTACAAGAACACTTCCAAAAAGGGGAGTTAAAAGTTTAAAAAATATATATGAAGCGTTTTAAATGGATTTTGTAGCCATTTGAATGTGTAAGATTGGGATGACAATCCAAACGAAATGCTAGTAACGAATGCTAGTATTTATATAATATAGTATATAGTAATATATAGTATTTATACATTATATGTATAAATGTAGTGTTGTTGGATCAATGTATCACTATATTTCTTATATGCTTTGTTTTATATCATTTTAAACATTTACAAAATATTTATAAGATGGACAAAACCAAAGACTAGACTCTCATAAAATAAATTATCAAAAATGCACTTCAAAAAAAGTATAATAAAATAAATAAAAAAAAAACTTCAACAAGGGGTGTTACACGTTCAAATAAGATATACTATGTTGCTTTTGTATCCATTTTAATATGTTGAGTTAAAAAAATAACTCTTTTCAAATACCATAATATCCTAGTGACGAGATCAGTAGAATACAGCATCAGTATAATCAGTTGCATACATACCCACCCGGCACGAAATCTTTTTAAAACCTTTCCAAAATCTTTATTTTTAAATATTTAATAGGTCATAGTAATCTTCTGTAGTTTTTCATAGAAATATTTCATAGAAAATATATCTTGCATTACCAAAATAATTTAAAAAAGTCTTAATTTTTTTTGTACTTTGTCCAATCTGTCTGAAACATTTTCGAAGCATTTTATGAAACATTCCACAAACATTAGGAAAACATTTCAGAAGTGTAGGTTAAAAGTGTAGAAGTGTACATTTAAAAGTAATGTTTCTGCAACAGTTACTTTGATTATTAGTTTAGAATTATTTTACAGTAACAAATGAGAAATATAACTGTTAGTTATTCTAACATAATTTAATTTTATATTTATTTTTCTCATGTTCGATATTTGTATAAGATGAATAAGAAGAAGATACGAAGAAGAATATAGAAGATACGATTATTTTCGTTCCCAAAATGAAAGATGTTTCTATGTGGTTTTATGTATGTACATTTGTCACTGAAATTTTTCTTTGTAAAAATATAGATTTGTTTAATAAAGTTTAAGAGGTATTATTAATTGAAAGATATTGGTTTTATTTAACTTTTGTTAAAATTTAAAATATTTCAACTATTTTTTAAAGAGCATACAAATAGTGCCTATGTAGACCTATGGTAAAGATTTTGCAATTTGACGCAAAAAAGTGAATTTTTAAATTTAAATCTTAGGTGTCAGAAGGTGTAAATTCTGTTTTTAAATATAAGGAAATAATACAAGCAAGAAATAATAAATGGCTAATGCAAGCCTTAAAAGATCGTTTAATTACTTGAGGGTATTAAGGAACGTAATTATTATGAGTTGGATTTTAAAAATCACAAAATAGTTAGTATTCTTGATTTTTACATTCCTTACTTTATATTGTGATATTCTTGATTTTACATTACTAACTTTATATTGTGATATTATATGAAAGTAACCAAAAGTTAATATTATCTATATGGATTTTAATGGATTATGGAGTAAGTTACACAGCAACCCCATCCCCAAGAACCTTCGCAGTCTTCACAAACTATTGCACAGCCAACCCTCAAAGACCCCTGGGTGGCGCCTAGCTTGTTAGTATTCTTGATTTTTACATTCCTTACTTTATATTGTGATATTCTTGATTTTACATTACTAACTTTATATTGTGATATTATATGAAAGTAACCAAAAGTTAATATTATCTATATGGATTTTAATGGATTATGGAGTAAGTTACACAGCAACCCCATCCCCAAGAACCTTCGCAGTCTTCACAAACTATTGCACAGCCAACCCTCAAAGACCCCTGGGTGGCGCCTAGCTTGTGACTCCCTATGCGGTTTCATCATTTCACCGGATGACTTCCAAAGGCCAAAAACCCAACCGCTGCAGACACAGAAACTGATTGTGTTTTCTTGCTTTAATATTTGTTGAGACTACCAATTAGCACTTGCGGCAATCTGTATCGAAAGAAAGAAACCCAAAAAAAACAAAGCCGGGAGACAGCCGTGCTAGCCGGATTTTTAGTTGCGCCAAGATGGATTTTCGATCTGGGGATGTTATAGTTTTTTAACGATTTATTGCAAACCACTTTAATTAACTTCAATTAAAGGTCTCTGTATAAAAGGTGACAGTTGGCCGGCGAAACCATATCAATCCGAAGCAGCAGCTCCAGGGCAACAGTTGCTCCTCCGCCGTCATTTCTCGTTCATTTGGATTTCATCATGAAGCAGTTTGTGGTAAGATCACCTCTGGAGGACTGCTCCCGAATTCAATTGTTAATCGTGGAATTGATGGGCAGGTTTTGGCCTGTCTGGCTGTGATTAGCGGCGCACTGGCTGCCCCCCGTCCGGATGTTAGCCACTTGGCGGGATACAGCTACCAGGCTGGCGGCTACAACGGTGGCTTGGTGGCCAACCAGGTGGTGAGCACCCCGGTGGTGACCACCTCGTACCAGCCCACCGCCGCCGGCAGCAACTACTTCAGCTCCGCCCCCAGCATCGGCCAGCTGAACCTGGCTCCCTCCGTGGTCACCTCAGGAGTGGGCAACTACCAGTCCGGCTCCTCGGACTACCAGGTGGGAGCCGCCGGCGCCAGCGACAGCATCGGACTGGCCGGCCTCCAGCCCGGACCCACCATCAACTACAACGAGCAGGAGTCCTACATCAGCCACCTGGCCAACTTCCAGCCCGCCCAGATCAACAAGCACTTCTACATCCACAGCGCCCCCGAGGACCACGACGAGCAGCAGATCGTCCGCTACGTGAACGTGGGCCGTCCCCAAAAGAACTACCGCGTCGTGTTCATCAACGCCCCCACCTCCACCACCAGCAAGGCCAAGATTATTGCCAACGTGGCTCCTGTCGAGGAGAAGACCGCCATCTACGTCCTCTCCAAGAAGTCCAACGCCCTGGACGTCAGCGCCGAGGTGGTTACTCAGCGTCCAGTGGCCAACAAGCCGGAGGTCTTCTTCGTCAAGTACAAGACGCCTCAGGAGGCTGCCCATGCCCAGCAGACTATTCAGGGTGAGTTCTTTCTTCTATGTACGCTCCAAAGAAAGGGTAGTCTTTGGGGTAAGAGTAGTTGTAATATTGGGTTTGTTAGTTAACCCAACTAGTTAAGGTTTCATATCCAGTCTGAAACAAGTCTTTCCCTTTTCTTAGTTTTCTATTCAAAAGTTACAGAAAGGCTTACCCTTCAACTCTCCAATAAGCCTTCCCCTGAAATTCTCCCGAAAACCCTTTATATAATCTCTCGAATTCCCCTTCAATTCCAGCCAACTATGATGCTCTGGGCGGCAGCTCCGAGACCAGCAACGAGGGTGTCATCCCCGTCTCCTCGGTCATTGGCAGCCTGGGCGATAATGGTGCCTCCGGTGTGGTCACCGATGCCAGCGGCGCCCTGAACATCGTTGGCACCGGCGGAGTGCCCAGCGTGGATGCCAGCTACAGCGCCGGATCCGGATCCTCGGGAGTGTTCGATGCCCAGGGCAGCCAGCGCCAGGTGATCAGCACCATCACCACCGGCACCAATGCCCAGGCCACCTATCTGCCCGTGAAGCCGGTCAGGAAGTAGGCCGCCTCCCAGCCACATCTCCATCCACTGCCAGGACATTCGATTCGGTTGGAGCCCCGGCGGACTCGGGACTGGATGGCCAATGCCCTCGCGGTTTTGGGATCTATCGCAGTGGAGTGCCGCCGGGAAGACCTGCGCGATTTTTCTATTCTACTTAGATTCTTGCAATCGGCAAGATACTTCTTGTAAAGAACTTTTTTTTTTAAATAAAATATAAGAGTTTTCATAGGCATTCAAAAAATGTAGAGGAGCTTGCGGTTTTATTTTGGATGGAAGATGGAGGAGTATTTAAAGTAAGACTCTCCAAAAAGCCAGACTTTACTGGAATGCTCAAGATCGAGGGGAGTGCAAGCCCTTTGACCCCATCACCTGGGTTACCTACCCGTTCCACCGGATTGCAGCTTGCACAATCGGAATAGTCGGAAATCGGAAAGCCCACAAAGCAGCCACCTGCCCTCTCATCACCTGCCCGAAAAAAAACACCAACAAATAAAATAAAAAGCCGAATCTGAAACTGAAGCTAATCTATGTTTGTGACAGCGTCAAGTATTTGGCAAGCTGCTCATAATTGTCCAACCTGATCGAACAGCCAACCGAGATCGAGAAACTCGACTCAAATGGAAACCACTCGGCCGATCCATAAATAAATTAGCGACTTAAAGAAACTCAACTCGGATTCAGATTCGGAATTGGAATTGAAAATGCGGCCTCCCAAGGTCAGTCAGTGCCAATGCAAGTCGCATTAAAATACCACAGAGTATTAAGTGAGAAATTAGTAGGAGGAGACATCTAATGTCCCAGATGGATGGACACCGATGGCGCCAACAAATTTATTATCAATTACGACGCCCTTTTTCGGGCAGTCCCCCGCGGTAGAGATAGTTCCCAGCATATCTCTCACTGTACGAGCAGGATCTATATCTGTATCTGAGATCTGTGATATCTGCATATCAATGGGGCGGCAGCCAGCATCTTTTGCATAAAGATAATCACACCTACTAAATAAAAGAAACAACAACTCAGACAAACGGCAAACGACGGTAGCCCTCGAATTTCAGATCTTGAATCTCCAAGACCCGAGACTCAAGATTCAAGATTGAGAGATACTGCCTAGGCACCGCGCCAGATTTGTCCCTCGATTCGATTTCTATTACTGTCATCATCAATAAAATATTACATAAATTTTCAGCACAGCAAGCGATCGCTTCGGGTTATAAATATGGAATGCCTAATTGATAATTATCATTTTGTTCGGTTTTCCATAATCCACAGCAGAGATATGCGATCTTCGATCTCCGATCTACCACCGATCTCTAATGGCTAAATTAGTCCGAATCGATTAGAATGCATTAGTGGCTGGCCATATTTCCTGGCCTTTTGTCGCCAAATTGTCAATCAGTTTTATTCGTTTATGTTCTGTCATCCATCTCCAAGTCGTAAATCCATTCAAGAGCCGGCGTTAATCAGTCGCCCTGCCACACTTGCCACCAAATTATGTTTCATCTTCTTGGTTTTTATTTTGTGGCCATATTTTGCGACCTCCAAGGGGGCGATCAGGTGAATGTGAATCTAGATTTCCATCCAAAACACAATATGTCTCAGATCTGAGTCAGCGATCGATTCCGCGATGACATCGCCTTATACGGTGCACTCGGACCACTCGGAGACGCTGGGAAATACCGGTGACCGAACCGAGGGGCTTTGTCTTTTTGCCGATTTTGGCTTTGGCTGATTTAGGCCCAAACTTAGTCTCTCCGGATATTGAAAGCGAGGCAGGAAAATGCATTTGCATTTGCCTTTTGTCTCGCCTGATTAGCCCAAAATACGGTCGAATTACCTTTTACAGAACTCTTGGAAGGTCTTGGTCTGGAGGTCTGGAGAGTAATCGTATTCCTACCATTTACTCAAAAATTTATTTTTCAAAGGGTTTTATGACTGAGCAACTAACTAAGTCCCTTGTTCTTCACTAAATCGATTGGTCAAGATGTACTCCAGTTATGTATGTTGCCAAGCATACCACAGTTGCCAAGCCTATACATAACTGGAGTGCATCTGAAGTACTGGAGTGTTTTCAACAAAAAAAAGTATAAGCTCTTTTAAAGTTTAAATATAAGTAGTGTTTGATAATTATGGTCTATTTAAGATCCTTTGGGTATTGTGTACAGAACAGACTTTTTTATACCCTTGCAGAGGGTATTATAATTTTGTCCAAAAGTGTGCAACGCAGTGAAGGAGACATCTCCGACCCTATAAAGTATATATATTCTTGATCAGGATCACCTCCTGAGTTGATATGAGCATGTCCGTCTGTCCGTCTGTCCGTCTGTCTGTCTGTCTGTCCGTTTCTACGCGAACTAGTCTCTCAGTTTTAAAGCTATCGACTTGAAACTTTGCACACACCCTTCTTTCCTTTGCACGCAGTATATAAGTCGGAACGGCCGGGATCGGCCGACTATATCCTATAGCTGCCATATAACTGATTGATCGGAAATGGTATAACTTTGGTGTTTTTAGAGTTAGAGAGTTAAAATTTGACATGAGAGCTATTTTTGGCAAAATAATACGACATGCCAAATTTCATAAGGATCGGCCGACTATATCCTATAGCTGCTCAATGATCGGAAATGACCCAACTTTCGTGTTTTTGAAGATAGAAAGCTGGAATTTAGTACAGACTCTATTTTTGGTTAGTTGATCCAACCTACCAAATTTCATTAGGATCGGCCGACTATATCCTATAGCTGCCATATAACTGAACGATCGGAAATGACCCAACTTTAGCTGCAAGGGTATATAAACTTCGGCTCCGCCCGAAGTTAGCTTTCCTTTCTTGTTTATAATCCATTTTGGTCTGGTTATACCCTTGCAGAGGGTATTATAATTTTGGTCAAAAGTGTGCAACGCAGTGAAGGAGACATCTCCGACCCTATAAAGTATATATATTCTTGATCAGGATCACCTCCTGAGTTGATATGAGCATGTCCGTCTGTCCGTCTGTCCGTCTGTCCGTCTGTCTGTCTGTCCGTTTCTACGCGAACTAGTCTCTCAGTTTTAAAGCTATCGTCTTGAAACTTTGCACACACCCTTCTTTCCTTTGCACGCAGTATATAAGTCGGAACGGCCCGGATCGGCCGACTATATCCTATAGCTGCCATATAACTGATTGATCGGAAATGGTATAACTTTGGTGTTTTTAGAGTTAGAGAGTTCAAATTTGACAAGAGAGCTATTTTTGGCAAAACATTACGTCATGCCAAATTTCATAAAGATCGGCCGACTATATCTTATAGCTGCCATATAACTGAACGATCGGAAATGACCCAACTTTCGTGTTTTTGTAGATAGAAAGCTGGAATTTAATACAGATTCTATTTTTGGTCAGTTGATCCAACCTACCAAATTTCATTAGGATCGGCCGACTATATCCCATAGCTGCCATATAACTGAACGATCGGAAATGGTATTTGGTAGAAATATCAACTTTCGTATTTTTGAAGATAGAAGTTTGGGACTTTTTTTAGATTTTTTATTGTAATAAATTGGATTATATATTCCTATTCCCATAAGGATCGGCCAACTATATCCGATGTTTGCGATATATATCCGGTTTTAACTGCAAGGGTATATAAACTTCGGCTCCGCCCGAAGTTAGCTTTCCTTTCTTGTGTTTTTATTTAACTCTGTGCAGAGACTTACTATAATTTATTATTCATTTTTAGGAAAACAAGAGTTAGTATGAAATAGCATGTTTGAATCGTTGCAAAGATTGATATTTATTTTTTGTGTGTCCTTTCTTAAATGTCCTAATATCTCACAATCCTTTATACCCTCAAGTGCCAATTTAGAAGGTAAATCTGTTGTTTAATAAAAAGTACAATAACGAACCGAATGCCTTGGTATGCGCGACGAGGCTACTATATATAGCCGAAGAATTGAAAATTATATTTACTATTTAACTTTATTTCCTTTATTGGGTTTAGAAAAAGACTTCAGTTCAGTTTTTCGGCTCAACATTTTGCTTGACAAATTATTTAACAAGCTGGGATTTCTAAGAATAGCTTAAAATTTGTATCTATAATCTAATTTTTTTTTTTTTTTAATAGATTTTTAATAGAAAATGCATAAAAAGAGTTTTTTAAATTGATTGTATTTTTTTTAATTTTTTGAAGTTTATATGTAACTGTGAAGATTAAGTTGGTGATACATAAAGTATACATAATATGATTCACTTTGGCTTATTTACATTTTCAAAAGGGATTAAGGAGATTGGAAGAGGAGAAAGAGTGGAAAGAGAGTATTCAAAGAGAACGTTTTTCGTCTAATTTTGCTGAAGCTTAGACTTTTTTATACCAATCGAAGTTTTAAATCTCAAATTTAGACAAAAGACTTACAAAAATAATGAATATCTTAACACAAAACAAGTCCTTTTCTAGATTTAATTTCGAACCGCTAAAATTATTCTTTTTAATAGTATAGTTTGTCTTAAAAAATTGTATAGTTTTTTAAATAATTATAGTATATTTTAATAAAGAAAACAAGTTGGAAAAAAAATTCTAAAAATATGAATACATACATCATAATATAATGTACTTACATTTTATTTAAAATAAAAAAATGATATTGGATAATAATATATGGATAAGATTTGATATGTATATAAAAATACTATCATTAAAAAGATCAACTTTTTGTGTATTTTTTTTTTTTTAATCCAATTTAACATTCTAATTAGGGTTATTTTTTAAAAAGGGTATTTTTCAGTAAATGTGGTAAGTATTAAAGATTATTATATAAGAACAAACGCGATATTTACGATATGATATCCAGATAAGAGAGTTTTCTTCCCCAAAGAAACTGGCGAAATCAGAAAGCTACAATCCGATCCGAATCGTTTATGGTTTGTGGCTTCAAGTCACACTAATTAATCCAACTGTTATAGATATTCGCAAATTAAATGATGGGCGAATAGGCCCGAAACTAATGACAGACCCGATCGAGGGGGAAAAAAACCCAGCAAACGTGTTTAGGCTTAGGATGGCAGATGATTCCGATGGATCTGATCAGATGGATGGATGGGTGGTTGGATGGATGGTTGATGACGATGTGCCGTTTAATGAGATTCGATTTACTAGAGGCGCCATTCAAAAGTTTTGGCCAGAGGACATATGCAGACTTATATTTAGATATTCGCTAATCCATTGTGAAGTCAAGTTCAATGTCAGAGAAGTCTGCGGTGTCTGAATGTAAGCCGCTTCGAGCATTCAAGCATTCGAGCCATCGCTCCATCGCTCGAGCAGTCGATCGTTCTAATTTGAATAAATTTTAGGTCAGTCCGAGTCCGAAGCCGAGAAAAAGAGGCCCAAAGACTTGGCGGCGAAACACCTTAGGTCTTGGGCTCAGAGTCTTGAAATCGAGATCTTGAATCTTGAATCTCGAGCGGTGACATTTGCATAAACTGCGACGCCGGCAGAGGCCCGGGCAGTGGGCCGTGGGCACTGGGCCAATCAGAGCATATTTAAGACAAGTGGAGCGCCCCGAAATGCAATCATTGCCTCGCAGCAATCCGTCAACGAAGCAGCTTTACTCAAGCACTCCACCATCTAACTAAGGATAACCAAGGATTACACACCCACGACCATGTTCATTCAACAAGTGATTGTCGGCTGCCTGGCTCTAGCCACCCTGGCCCTGGCTCGTCCCCAGTACGGATACGAGCAGCCCCTGGTCTCCGGATCGGGATCGCAGGACATATTCCTGGGAGGCGGCGGCGGAGGCATCGGCGTGGGCTCCAGCCCCGTAGGCATTGGCGCCATCTCCGGAGGCATTGCCCCACACCGCGGCGGCGACAAGTACCTGCCCCCAGCCAGCACCACCCAGGCCCCGATCATCAACAAGAAGTTCTACCTGGTGTCCGCCCCCGAGGACCACAGCAACGACGGCAAGGTGAAGCACCTGGTGCTGGGACGCCCCCAGAAGAACTACCGTGTCGTCTTCATCAAGGCCCCAGCCGGCGATAACGCCAACGTCAAGTACTCCGCCGAGTTCGCCCCGCAGGAGGAGAAGACCGTCATCTACGTCTTGAGCAAGAAGGACAACGACCTGGACGCCAGCGACATTGCCACCCCGGCCCCCACCCAGCCCAGCAAGCCCGAGGTCTTCTTCATCAAGTACAAGACCGACGACGAGGCCAAGCAGGCCCAGCAGGAGATCCAGGGCCAGTACGACAAGCTCGGCGGCACCAACGAGTACCAGGAGGACAACAACGCCCCCATCACCTCCGTGATCGGCAGCCTCGACGGCCTCAACCCCGACGGCAGCTACAACTACAGGCAGATCGCCAACCGTCCTCCCAGTGCCCAGTACCTCCCCAGTCTCCTGAAGCACTAGAGGATTACCACCCATCTTGCACCTTGCACCCCCCCTGCACAATCCTGCACCCCTCACCCAAAAAATCCTCAAGTCCCCAAACCCCCAAACGAAACCAAGGAACTACCCATTCTCGACCCTTGTTGTGTTGCTTATTTTTAAGAAATCAGCCTGTTTTTTTGTTTTTTTTTTCTGTTACATCGAATTGTTAATAAAGCCTATATAAAAAATAATTAAAAAGTTGTTTTTTAATTAAAAGGGCTACCGAAATTGGTAAAGCTCCAAAAACTGAGAACTACTGCTCCCAGTCTTTCGCTAAAAATACCAGAAAAGTGATGTTTTTTAGTAAAATACGAAGGTTTTTCCAAACTTAAGAGCGTTTTAAACTCAAATCTTTAAAGTTTAAACTTAACTGGAGAATATTAAATATTAATTTAAAGTTTAAATATTTACTTTTTCTTTACAAAAAAGAAAATATTTAATTTTTTTTTATTAATAAAACTATTATACTATACTTCTTCCTACAAAGTATTGGCACTGACCCTTATATGCAAAGATAAGCTCAGGAAGAGAACATTGTTTTGTTGCCAAAATATTAAGATTCTCTTAAAATAATATAAATTAAAAAACAAATAAAAGCACTTCTTCTAATTTTGAATTTATTTCTCCCTTTTTCATATATCATATCATATAATATTATGCAAATATACCGTCATTTCTATTAATTCTGTTCATAAGGAAAAATAAAACAAATTTGAAAATAGCCACAGCTTTTACGCTTTAGGCTAAGGTCAGTCGTTTAGAAAAAATAAATAAATTAATAAAAATCCTATAAATAAGTTGAAATGTTTCAGCAACGACAACGTCAGCCGAATTGAAATATAAATGAAATACAAGTCCAGTCGAAATCAAAGCCACAGCCCAGGCACTTTGGCTTTGTCTCTCCCGATATTCAAATCATCACTCGCATTTCAATATGTCAAAATCCGAATCGAAATCCAAATCCAAATCCAAATATAAATCCAAATCGGAATCAAAATCGAGGCGCCACAACACGAACAAAAACGCGGCTGCCGTCAAAACTTCCACCAGAAATTAGCTTAAATGAAGTGAGAAATCAAAATAAGCTCATCAAATTTAATTAAATAGTGGAGTTTTATATTTCTGTTTAGCTTTTTCCTCGTTTTTTTTGTCCGCCGACCCCCGGTTTTGTTGCTCTGATTGGGCCATTAAACTGACGCTGAATAAACTCGGATCGGAGCCACCCGGGGCGGCCAGGCCAGGGGCTGATTAATGTCGGATCGGAGCTATTGGACCCCCAAGTCTCCAAAAACAAGTCGTGAAATTGAACGCGGGAAGTACACAAAGGAAGGGGGTAATCCGTCCGAGAATTGGCTATTCTTCAATTATTAATTGCGGTCTAATGGAAGTAATTTGTGCCATTAAATCAAAAATGACAAGTGGCCGAGGCGATGAAAAATGAGCTCGAGGAGTTACGTTTTTTTGCAACGAAATTGAAAGTGAACTTTTTGGTTTAGAATTGCATACTATGCTTTGATTTAAATAAGTTTCTTTCCTCTAACCAGGGCGTCAATTTTTAGTTAATAAATTATAGCTTTTTTTTATCGTAATCAATCTATCAAATTATTAAATGGACTAGGATTTCATTAGAAAGTAATTAAATTAAGATATAAGGTCTATAACTCTATCCACTAGAGTGATTATAAATCTTGTATTTAAGGTAAAAATAAAAAAAAACTAGATAACGTATTTGTGAATAATATATTAATTATAATCACTGATAGTAAAATAAGTTAGTGAATGAACTATAATCATTGTTTAAATATAAGGCTTATCGTTTTAATCGTTTAAGTGTTAATATCATTATATTTTGAAAATAAGTCTGAAAATCCAAAATTAAAGGCCTGTGTAGTAAGATGTTAAGAAAACAAATACAAAGTATGACACTTATTGATGATCGTGTAAAAATTTGGTATTGATTTCAGTTAGAACAAGAGTTTTTAACTGAAACAAGAAAGGAAAGCTAACTTTGGGCGGAGCCGAAGTTGATATACCCTTGCAGTTAAAACCGGATATACAACATCGCAAACATCTGATTTAGTTGGCCGATCCTTATGAGCATATGATAATATAACCCAATTTATTATAATATAAAATCTAAAAAAAAGTCCCAAACTTCTATCTTCAAATATACCTATGTTGGTATTTCTACCAAAAACCATTTCCGATCGTTCAGTTATATGACAGCTATAAAATATAGTCAGCCGATCGTTATTAAATTTGGTAGGATAAACTGACCAAAAATATAATCTGTACCAAGTTCCAGCTTTTTATCTTCAAAAACACAAAAGTTGGGTCAATTCCGATCGTTCAGTTATATGGCAGCTATAGGATATAGTCGGCCGATCCTTATGAAATTTGGCATGTCGTAATGATTTGCTAAAAAAAACACCAATGTTATACCATTTCCGATCAATCAGTTATATGGCAGCTATAGGATATAGTCGGTTCCGATTTATATACTGCGTGCAAACGAAAGAAGGGTGTGTGCAAAGTTTCACGTCGATAGCTTTAAAACTGAGTGACTAGTTCGCGTAGAAACTGACAGACAGACGGACATGCTCATATCAACTCAGGAGGTGATCCTCATCAAGAATATATATACTTTATAGGGTCGGAGATGTCTCCTTCACTGCGTTGCACACTTTTGGACAAAATTATAATACCCTCTGCAAGGGTATAAAAAGAGAAAATAAACGATTAAATTAAAATATTGTATATTTAGTCTTTAATACGTGTGAAAAAATTACTTTATTCAAATATTTGTTGCAAGTTCATTCGAGACATTAAGTTTATGGAGCAACAAAGGAAATGAGCCATGCTTTTATATACTGTAGATTATAATAAAAATATTCCAGCACCACAAAATATTCGGTACTCAAACTAAAACCACCAAAACTTTTAATCAAAAATCAAAAAGGAATGTGGTTAAAGAAAGTGTTTTTATTGTAGGAGGCGAAATTAAACCTTGGTTACCTTTTAAGGGTTTACAGCACACTTGTTATTAAACACTATTTCACTTATCTGTCATTTTTTAATGGACTTTTAATGGATTTGTCGACGAGACTACCGTATAGGTATTCCATCATAACCTAACTATGAAATAAAAGTATTAATAAAATGGAAGAAAATATTTATTTCATATGATATATTTCAGTTGGCTCTAGAATGTGAAATATCAACGCTTTTGGCAAAAATTTCGAATGTCAAAATAGTTATGTTTACTGAGGAAGGTTTTATTTTCAGAACAATAGAAAGTTCTGGTCTCCAAAACTTTTTTGGTTATTTGGATCTGGGTTGTGGCACACATTTATTATAACAATTTGGCATTAAAATCTCTTTAGCAGAAAGACATCGTTATATTCTTCTAAAAAACCCTAAGAAGAAATATTCAAAAAGACCAAATATTTTTTAAGAAAATAACCAATATAGATGTGTAAAATAAGCCCAGACCCCCGCGTAAAAATCTAGCTCCATTGCCAATACGCACATCGCTTGACCTCCCCCAACAAAAGAAAAATACCTTGTAAAAAAGGCAAACCCGATTAAAGACACAGCCATAACATCTTCATACCCAGAGCTAGGCGCAATTTTTCTTAATAAAAGCGAGCATAAATCAAATTAGCTGTACCATTTTGCTTAAATGCGACATGAAAGTGTGGGAATTACTCACCAATTTATGCAAATCCGATGCACACACAAACGCAGGCAAGGCGCAGACAATCGAACCAGTTCCCAATACCGGGGCATTGTTGATATTTTAATTGTCTCTTGTTGACAACAAGCAGCCAGCGACGAGCCAGCCACAAACAGAGCCCAGTCGAAATTAATCTACTAATCAGCATCGAGGCTGTGCGATCCTAATAACTGAAGAGCAGAGTTCGGCCAAAATACAGACCCAACTGGCGCTAAATACAATATTATTTGGCTCGGCCCAGAGACCATTAGTCAAGAGGCGAGGGCGTTGAATTTAAATACATTTGTTGGCATTTGGCTCTTATATCTAATGTTTTAGTGAGCCCGCCCAAAAATAGAAAACCAAAAACCATCGGATGATAAATGATCTGCAAATCGCCGACCCGAGATGTGAGATTGGAGATGTGAAAAGAGCATAACGAAAAGTCGTGTCAAAACATTGGGGGGCACATCATGTCTGCCTGTATCTTCAAACACATATGCCTCAGAATTAATTATTGGAGCTTCCAAAATTTGTTTGGGGGATTTTTCTGGGTCTGCCGGTTCTGGGTAATCGAGTTTTCTTGATCATTTTCAAGGTTGTTCTCGGGTCGTGAACTCTTACGGGCCGAGAAAATGAAAAACGAGTTTTAAAGTTTCTTGGAAACTTCATCTTTTAAACGAAAGTTGTACACAAAATTAAAGAAATAATAACATTAATCAAGCTCAGGGCTAAAGGGCCTTAAACTTGGTCCGATTTAATTAATTTGTTTTTTATTTTTTAATAAAAAGTTTACAAAGCCTCGTAAAATTACGAAATTCTAATAAAAGGCTCATAAAAACCCAGACCTGCAGCTTCTGTTCCCCCATTTTCATGCACAATTAATTTTGCGTTTTTGTCGAGCAAGTTCGTTGCCTAAGTCTTTTGTTTCGGCAGCCCTAATTGGCGACCTGCGGCTGGAAAATGGCAAAGAAAACGCTAATTGGCACAAACTTTTCACAAATTTTCACAAATCACCGTTTAAAAGTAGAGTCCAGGGGCTGCTTCGCAAACAGTCTCTTAGAAACCGCGAAATGTTCCACTTATTTTGGCTAATTTCCCTTACGCTGCTCTTCGGCAGGGCGCTGGGCCAGGGATCGCGATCCTACTTGCCGCCGGGGAACCCCGCTGCCCCGGAGCCGATCATCACCAAGCACTTCTACAGCGTCTCCCCCGCCGAGGACCCGGAGGACTCGGAGCCGAGGACCAAGCACTTGGTGATTGGCCAGCCTCGAAGGAACTATCGGGTGATCTTCATCCGGGCCCCGGGGGCGCACAGCGAGCGAGTCAAGTACACTGCTGAGGTGGCGCCCCAGGAAGAGCGCACCGTCATCTACGTGCTGACCAGGAAGCAGCCGGAGTTGGAGGCCGCGGACATTGTGGCGCCGCCGGAACGGCACCAGTCGGAGCAGAAGCCGGACATTTTCTTCATCAAGTACAAGACCAACGAGGAGGCGGCCGCCGCCCAGAAGGAGATCCAGAACCAGTACGACACCCTGGGTGGCAACAGCGAGATAGCAGCCCCCTATGTGGCACCTGTTCAGTCGGTGGTTGGAGCCCTGGGTCCCCAGTACCAGCCGCAGCCAGCGTCACCGGGCTATCACTATGACAGGCCAACTTCAACGCTGTTGGCGCCAGTGGAGCGATCTTACTGACAGTTTATATTGTTTTTTTTTTTTTTTGTTTTTTCTGCCAAAACCCACCACAACCCACAAACCCTAGGGTTCACAATTTATACAGATGTATCCGCCAGTCGTTGAATATTCCATGCTATTTGCATATAATTGATAAGCCATTTCCACAGCCAGATACGAATTTATCATAAAAGCTGGCGAACGCGTAAATAAAAATGGTTTCTTTTAATTATATTTTTGTTGTATAATTTTGGCAAACTTTTTTTCTTTTTATGTTTTTGGTGATATCAGATTGGTGCGTGTTTTTTATTATTTCTTTTTTGCAAATAAAAAAATTTGCAAAAGTGCTTTGACCCTGTGACGAAGGAGAGGAATTTGCAAGAAGTGAAGCGACGAGCTTATTGGTTTTTTCTTTGAAATATTAGTTCTTTTGTGATTAAAGTATAAATGGAATTAAAAAGTGTAAAAAATTAGAAGCACACAAAATATAACTTAATTTAATAAGGGAGAGTAAATTGTTAATTAAATCAATGATATGGTTTGTAGTAAAAACTAAGAGAAGAACTTGTTGGCTATTTTTTGTTAAACAAGTTATTTTTAAACTTATAAAACATCGTGTCTAAATAAAATACCAAATTTAAATAGTTAAAGAAAATAATTAAAATATAGTATGTAAATGTAGTAGCATTGGTAATATTTTTTCTGATTTGTATAACTTTAAAATGGTGTATTTAAAACTGCATGCTGCAAAATACAAATTATAAAATAATTATAATTAAAAATTTTTCCTATGCCAACAGTATTCCAACATCTGATATATTCATCAAAATAAGCACCAGAATATTATTTCTACTAACCGCTTATTCTGTTGAAATTAAGGATTATAGTTTTGGTTCATAGCCTTTTTTTTACGAAAATTTCAGAGAATCTAAGCTTCTATTTAAAGATTTGTCAAACTAAAAAAAAAACAGTCAACCAAAATCCAAATCAGCATAAATTTTGCAAGTCGCAACCGAAAAAAGAAACCGCAAAACGGCAATGCATTTTTTTATGATATGTCTCTGCTCCGCGGACCGGCCAGTTTATCTTCTTTGGATTTATTTGCATTTGCATTTAATTAATGGGATTTTGTTGTTGGCCTCCTCGGATCGGAGACGGTTCAGGCCACTTTTGGGCATCAACTAGGCGACCTTTTTTTGATTGGCAGCAGCAACAATTTGGCAGCAATTAATCTTAGGGGTTTGCCAAAAAATTAAACAAAGCAAGCCCCCCCCCTCGAAAATGTTAGGCAATCAGTGGCTCTCGCCAAGGTCGGGGCTCCGAAGATCCGAAAACTGAAATACAAAGGTTCGGTTCTAAGCCATCAGAGGGCTGAGCGCACCTTTATTTTGAAAAATATTTTATAACATATTGTATTGTATTGGATGTGTGGTATTCGTCATCTCAAGGTGGCCGAAATGCCGCAGTGCATAAATCACACGTTCGATATTTTGGCCAAAAGCGCAAACACAGACAATGGCCCTAAAACGGCCCTGCCCAAAACGCATTCAAATTATGGCAATTATATTAAAATTTTTCATCAGCCGGCACCAAGAGACACTCGGTCGCTGATTTGGAATTTCGCCCATTGGTTTGTGGTTTTGGAATTTCTGCTTTTAGTCGCTGTTACTAAAAATAGACCATGACACAACGACAACTATCCACATATTTAAATACTCTTTTATTGGCGGGTTTCCTAAAAAAAAATGTAGACCTAGACATTTTTATAAAATGGTTTGACTATTAATGTCCGGTACTATTTTGACAAATTGGGGATTGGTGTTTATAGAAACCGTACATATGTTTGATTCACAAATTTTAGCAATATTTTAAGACCTCCAATGCTTTTAAGATTTTCTCAAGATTATAAAAATCTATCATCTGTAACTGTATCCCAAGTACCGGGTATTGCTTTTATAGGGCATATTGTACTTCGTATAATTTTCAGAGAAATAACAGCTTTGTTTGCCGATGCCGCCACTTGAAGCTTATCAACGGTAATGATATAATTTATGGGCCGGTAAAGATTTGTCAAAACTTTGCTCAGCCCCCGAAGATCAAAGCGGAAATTATGAAAAGAAGCCCAACAAATAATTGAAGTGGTATTGCAACAATAAAGAGCCAACTAGTTTGGTCTTGTATTCAAAAAAAAACCCAATATGCAAAAATGTTATATTAAAGCACTATTAAAATCGAATCAGAGAGCAAGGCGAAAAATAAAAAGCATAAATTAAGAAACTTTTTATAAAAAATAATTAAAATAAAGTATGCCAATCCAAGCACTGTTGCGGGCTTTCTAGACTCTATAGTCTAGACTGTAGACTTTAGACCTGGGAGTATGCAAAATATGCAGCCACAGAAATACACACTGTATTGGCAATTTTTAATAGCTTTTTGGAATCTAATGGGAATAAATTACTGCGCCTTTGGCCAGTTAAAAATAAATATAATAAGCTGCCAATCCGCAGTGCCTTTCCAACATAATTAAGCTCTTGTTAACAATGGCTTAATACGTCATACTACGTCCCATCGCGGAAGCAGGTTCTCTTCCAAGAACCAAACATGTAGAATTATTAAAAAAATCAAGAAAAATCACCGTCGAAAAGAAAAGAACCATAAGGAGATTGAATAAATTCCTCTGACCATTTGTTTGCTCAAGCAGACAGCGAACAAATTGCTTCCATCAATCACGATATGTAAACTATACTTTAATACATCTTTGCTTAGACTGAGCCACAAAAAAGACGGACTTTCAGAGACAGAAGTTTGGGGCGAAAAACGAAAGCACTGAAGAAGAAAGTTCTCTAATCGAAAGGGCACTTTTGATTTCTTTAAACAATAAAAGTGTATTTGATAATGAAAGTGGAATGGAATTTAAGTAAATGTTTTGTGGCCAAAACCTCTCGCAACTACTACTGCCGCCAAGGATCTTGGTATAGATCTCTGATGTGCTCGTAAGGTTCTACTTGTGGCGGTTCGTGGTCCCACCCAGCTTTCTGAAGAAGTCTTCTAATCTACGCGGAGTCTGTGAGTTTTGGGGGCCTAAAAATATTATTATGTTATTTAATTTCAGAAAATGTGGTGGAACTTTCTGAATAGCTTAAAGGGCTTATTGAATGATTTTCAAGAGCGCCCCAATTAACATTTGGTTTTATTGCCAATATATTTAAAGGGAAGAAGGAATCTTTTCGATCCAATGAAGTAAATTAATTGTCGTTAAAGCTAATCAAATTTTTGTTGTCAGGAAAAGTAATTGTTTGTGAGATAAGATATTTAAAAGATAAAGATACTTTTGGGTAAATGATATATGATTTTTTCTTATTTTAAAGTCCTAGTTCTTCCTAGAAAGTTAAATTCAGCAAAATCGAGCAGGAGTTTAGTACATTCGGGTTCCCTACTGTCTTGTTTCAATATTCTGTGCCGATACCCCGAAAAGTATGAAAAAAAATTTTATTTTAAGAGTATATCGACCCTTTTTTGAAATAAACCATTTTTTTCAAATTTCTATATTTTAGAATTTATAATACAAATTTAAAATATTATAACAAACATTCCTGACCATTGTGGTGGTAATTTGGAATCAAATTGGTCGAATGTGCCAGTACTTTTTATTGTTGAAGACTTAGTTATATAAAGAAATGGGAGAGAAATAGAGAAGTACCACGTATCATTTAGCCGGGAAATTTGACTATAGCCTTCCTTCCTTTTTTCATATTAGCACCTTCTGAAACAAAAATGAATAACTTTTCGAAAAACTATTGACAAAACAAAAATATTTCAATATTTCGGGAAGTATACCTCCATTTTTATCAATTAAGAACTAGAGTCTCCAGCCATTTAAAAAAAAAAGTGAGAACCAGGATTTGAAATATTGTTTCAATAATTAAGTACAATCTTAAGCAAATCATGACAGAAAATAGCCAAAAACGTTCTAAAACCTCAAAATCGAAGCTTGAAAGCCCCAGAAACGTGCTGACTGCTTCAATGCTGACCAAATTAAGTCACAAACACGCTCCATGAGCCGAGCGGACGGTCATAATTGATAAACCGCAAATGAGCAATCAATCAAGTGAGGATTTTATGCAAAATCTTGCATTCAACTTGAAAATGGCGGGGACATGATAATCGAGGCGAGACAATGCGACAAAACGGAAAAAATGCAACCGTATTTCGTGTGTTTTTGTCGAAATTGAAAACGAAGCGAAGAAAACACTCAAGCTGGAAACTGATCCACCAGCGATCAAGTTGGCAAACCGGCGAATTATTCGACTATGATTTATGATCGAGCCGCGAAGAAAAAAATTCGAATATCGATGGACAACAGGTCACATTAAAGGAAGCGTGACAGAGAGGGGCGCTGAGCAACAGAGAAGGCAACAAACAAACAAGTCAAATGTCAGAGGTTTTTTTTTCAGAGGTACGCTATGGTATGGTATGGTGTGGTAGGTAGAGGCGAAATAATTGAGCAATTAATTAAACCGGCGAGGAGGGTAAGAAAAAAATTATAGAAAAATAGTGGAGAGTGAGAAGCGGCGGAACCAAAACATTCAGTGTATAAAAGGCCATCGTCCACCTGGGGAGGGCATCATTAAGCCAACAACTGAAAACCACTCAACATGCGTCTGTTTGTGGTGAGTTGGCCAGTGCCAGGACCAAGTCCAGGATATACACAACCAAAGGATAAAACCCAACCAAAGAGACACAAAATCAATCAGTGACCTTACAGTGAATTAATTTTTTTTTTTATTTTTTTTTACTGTAGACCCTTTGCACTCTCGCGGCTCTCAGCCAGGCCAAGCCCCAGGGCTATAACTATGGCAGCGGTCTCTCCGGCTCCCTTACCACCACCACTTCCGGCGGCGGAAGCAGCGGCGGCTTCCTGACTGCCCCTAGCCACTCCCAGAACTCGGTGGCCTCCTATGGACCCCTCGGCGCCTTCCAAAGCGCCAGCGTGGGCTCCCTGGTGGGCAGCTCCACCTACCAGGCTCCCCAGACCGTCACCCACTACACCAGCGGTGGGGGCAGCGGTCATGGCGCCAGCTACTCCACTGGCTCCTCCTCCAACTATGGTGGCGGCTCCAACTATGGCAGCGGCGCCACTTCCGGCGGTAGCTCCTTCACCGGCTTCGGGCCCTCGCCCAACATCGGATTCGGCGCCCTGTCCGGCTACCAGGCACCCAGCTACCAGCAGCAGCAGGAGCAGGAGGTGCAGCGCGGCTTCCAGGAGCCCCTCATCCACAAGCAGTTCTTCACCGTGGCCGCTCCCGAGGAGCACGAGAACCTGGAGAGGACTAAGCACCTGGTGATCGGACGCCCCCAGAAGAACTACCGCGTCGTCTTCATCAAGGCCCCATCTTCCAGCAACGCCAACGTCAAGCTCTCCGCCGAGTACGCTCCCAAGGAGGAGAAGACCGTCATCTACGTGCTCAGCAAGAAGGACAACCAGCTGGAGGTCAACGACATTGCCACCCCCGCTCCCACCGTGCCCAGCAAGCCCGAGGTCTTCTTCATCAAGTACAAGACCGACGCGGAGGCCTCCCACGCCCAGCAGCAGATTCAGGGTGAGTCCCCGACCTAGACCAGAGGGCGCTCCTAAGCCTAGAACCCCCAAGTAACCTCTCATTTCTCCCCCAGCCGAGTACGACAGAATCGAGGGAACCTCGGAGCACCAGGACGGTGGAGTGGCTCCCGCCCAGTCGGTGGTTGGAATCCTGGACAGTGGTGCTATTGGTGCCGCCAGCTCTGGCAGCTCTCAGTACGTGTCTGGCACCTCGGGCAGCACTCAGTACGTCTCGGGCGGCACTGGATCTACTGGCGGCTCCTACACCACCGGCACCTCTGGATCCACTGGTGGCTCTTACACCACCTCGGTCACCGGCGGCACCTCCGGCGGCGCCACCATTGTGGCCCACAAGAACGCCCAGAGTGCCACCTATCTGCCACCCAACGGCAAATAGGCTGCTCACTGCAGTGGCTCATCTTTAGAGACAATTCTTTCTGTACAGTAATGCAATACTTAGCGAAAATAGCCTTTTTTTGTGAATACCTGAATAAACTTTAAACGAAATAGAAGAATAATTATGGAGGACTTGCGATCCTTGGGGAGGGACTTTGTTGGAAACTTAAAGCATCAACAGGAAACCCGAAGACTTTTAACCTTTAATGATCTTGTCCCTTTATAGAAGGGATCTTCAACTTACCTACGGACTTGATGGCCCGCTTCAGCAACAAATCCGACTGGCTCTTGTCCAGGGAGTCGATCTCTCGGCAACTGCGGTACAAGCTGGTTACCGTGGACTCGACGGAGTAGGCTCCCTCCCCGGAGTTCGGCAGCATGGATATAAATCGGTTCAGTTCATTAAGTTCTGTAGGAGAGACAAGTCAGTGAAAAATGACAAAAGTGTGTGAAAAAGCAGGTCCATCCAGCTCACCCTGGTACTCGTTGTAAGTCTTGTAGTTCCACTCGCCCCGCTTGATCACAAAGTAGTCGTGGTTGGCGTAGTCGGAGGCGAAGTTGCCGCAGGCCCACTCGTACGTATCGTGGCAGGGACTCTTCGAGGTGTTGGCCCACAGGAGCAGTTGCCGGCTGCTCTCCACGCACTCCTTCTCGAGGCAGAGCGGCGCCCGGAGGTAGAAGGGCACCTCCGGCCAGAAGGCCAGCAGCAGGATAATGATCAGCAGGAGCAGGGCGCACAGGCAGGCGGTGGTCACGTACAGGATGCGTCGTTTTCGCGACAGACTCATCAGGGCGTCGAAGGAACGTCGGCCTGGAAGCAGCAAGGCTAGTGCGTCAGGACATTTTCCAAGGACGAAACACATGAAAACGAATGAGAAATGAAATGAGGATGTAATTAGATGAGTGTGTTAAGGAATGTAAATGATAAAATAAATTAAACCAAAAGACTCTTAAGTCCTTATCAAAAATAAATGAATGAAAAGATAAATTAAAATAACATAAAACATACAACTTTCAAACACAAAAGACCCTTTATTTGTAAGCAAATTGAATACTTTTTGAAAAATAGTTAAAGTCCTAAAAAGTAAATAAAAACTCTTTTTAACTTATCTTTATTATCCCTCTGAAAAATTAATTTAGAAAAAACAAATCAGTTTTAAAAATAACCCTATTTTCAAGAGCTTTTTTCAGTCAAGATCATCTACTATAGTTCCACTGCCAATTTAAATGCGATTATCCAAAAGTTTTACCTTTCGAACTTTTAAAAATATAATTCTAACAAATATAAATCGTATATGAATTGAATGAAGAATACATATCTTAAATAATTCCTCGAGATTTTAGTTCATATTTACATAATTTTGTAAAAATCCTTGTTAAATTTTCAAATTTATATGTTGTTTCCTTTTGTAAAAATACGCCTTGAAAGTAGTGTGATTGGAAAGACAAGAAGACAAAGAAGATGTCAACAATATTATTTTTTTTGTTAACAAACATACATTGAACTTCTTCCAAGTTTACTTCTTTCTGCATCATACATTTTAAAATTTTAAGTTTAATATTTGTATTTGAACTCTCTTAAGAGGAACTCCTTCTCCCTTCATTTTGATTTTTGGATCCTTAAATATAAAAATGACGTCTTTAATCAAATTGATCATTTTTAACGAAACAATTCGTCCTACTTTGTCAATCCTGGGTCTTAATTCAATCGAAAAGTGGAATTTGTCGCAACTATTTTATCATAATAGAAATATTTTTATACCCTTGCAGAGGGTATTATAATTTTGTCCAAAAGTGTGCAACGCAGTGAAGGAGACATCTCCGACCCTATAAAGTATATATATTCTTGATCAGGATCACCTCCTGAGTTGATATTAGCATGTCCGTCTGTCCGTCTGTCCGTCTGTCCGTCTGTCCGTCTGTCCGTCTGTCTGTCTGTCTGTCCGTTTCTACGCGAACTAGTCTCTCAGTTTTGAAGCTATCGTCTTGAAACTTTGCACACACCCTTCTTTCCTTTGCACGCAGTATATAAGTCGGAACGGCCGGGATCGGCCGACTATATCCTATAGCTGCCATATAACTGATTGATCGGAAATGGTATAACTTTGGTGTTTTTAGAGTTAGAGAGTTCAAATTTGACACGAGAGCTATTTTTGGCAAACAATTACGACATGCCAAATTTCATAAGGATCGGCCGACTATATCTTATAGCTGCCATATAACTGAACGATCGGAAATGACCCAACTTTCGTGTTTTTGAAGATAGAAAGCTGAAACTTGGTACAGATTATATTTTTGGCCTGTTGATCCAACTTACCAAATTTCATTAGGATCGGCCGACTATATCCTATAGCTGCCATATAACTGAACTATCGGAAATGGTACTTGGTAGAAATACCAACTTTCGTATTTTTGAAGATAGAAGCTTGGGACTTTTTTTAGATTTTTTATTTTAGTTAATTAGTTTTAATATGATGTAATCATAAGCATCGGCCAACTATATCCGATGTTTGCGATATATATCCGGTTTTAACTGCAAGGGTATATAAACTTCGGCTCCGCCCGAAGTTAGCTTTGCTTTCTTGTTTAAATTATACATAAATAACTTTTAAAAGCTTTATTACTTCCAGGCATACAAAATTGTATAAACCGCCAAAATGGAATTGATTCAAGGAATTTCAATCAACTTGAGATATGTATCATTGACTAGAGCTAAAAAACAAATGAGTTCGAAAAGTGCGCATGTGACATGGGTACGTTCCAGATGCTCTAAGTAGAAAAATATCCTTTGGAATTTAAATTTAAATCGTGTGTCAATTTTTCATTTTAACTTTAAATTTAATTTTATTAAAAGGAAATGGTTTTTAAGCAACATGCAAAAAAGGGCTCTTAAGTACCAGGTCTATGCATATGAAACTGCGTTTTACTTCGTTAATTATTGGTAACATAAGTGATCGAAAATTTTTGGTAAACATTTTTTTTAGCACTTTTTGACATCTGGGAACACTGCTTAAACGTTATTTGCAAGTTTCCAATAGAAATTTTTTTTCTAATATTGAAAATGTCGAGTTTTATACCCACAAACCACTATTCGCGGACATCGAAAAATGACATGCGAAATTCTCTTGAAAATTCTCGTTTTTGCATGGAAATGAAAAGTGGATCTATTTTCAAAACCCCAAATGAAAAAAATCCTATGTTAGCCCAGGCCAGCCAACGCAATCCCAATCTCGGCCTAACCGTTTCGGCCGCAAAGCCATGCTGAGCGTTTTCCGGGATCAGGCCGGAATCGTTTGGTATAAGCTCCTAAAACCGGGTGAAACCGTTGATGGCGAACGCTACCAGCAACAATTGGAAGAATTGAAAGAAACTCTGCTCCGAAAACGCCTAGAAAACGCAAAAAGGCAGCTCAGACCCATTCTTCTGGACGACAACGCGCCATCACATCGGCCTAGAGACACCAAGGAATTGGTAGCCACGTTTGGCTGGGAGTCCTTACCGGACACGGATTAGCCAACCAGCGCTTCGATTCCTATGGAGACCTTAAGAATTTGCTAGAAGACTGATTTGGTCCAAGAAAAAGGAATTCTTCTGGCGACGAATTCATAAATTGCCCGAAAGAAGGGAAAAATGTGTGGCTTCTGAAGGGGCATACTTTCAAGATTGAAATTGTCACCATTTATTTTTAATAATACTCCAAAGTAGTAAAAAAGAACGCAGTTTCATATGCATAGACCTGATATGTCGTTGTTATATACATATTTAAATACATGTTATTACATTTTTCCTACATTGTTGCATATTTCCTCTTTTTTTATATCTTTAAATTTTTTCATGTTAAGACTATATATAATTTATATATAATTATATAATTATAATAATAAATTGTATATAACTTATAATATAAACCCTCAACCTAAAATTAGTCCAAAAATGAAATGTTTTAAAATGCCATTCAAAAGAGTATAATAACCAAGGATTACCTCTCAGTCCATTGGCCGAAGGATGTGTGGAGTTGGGGGTGTTCGCCGCAGGAGTCCTGCCGCCGCCCCCGCCGCTGACCTCGTTGAGGGCATCCTGCCGGGCCGCCTCCAGGTCCTTGGGCGTCAGGTGGGAGCCGTCGTCCATGTGGAGCTTCTGCTGGTTGGTGGTGAGGGGCGCCGTTTCACTGCCCTCGATCTGCTGGAGCTGCTGTTTGCTGGCCATCTCGTCCTGGCTGTTGTGGAGCTTGTAGCTGCGGTCGTCCACCTCGTCGATGGCGCAGATCGTCGGTTTGTATTTGCCCTGGTTTATGGCCATGCTGTTGCGGTTGCAGGTCCACCCTTATTGCTGCTTGTCGGTTGGCGTCTCGGCTAAGTGGTCGCAGTGGTTGCTATACCCGCTTAGTTCAGCTGGTTCGGCATTTTTAATCACTTTCAGAGTAGCTCTGTTTAACGGTAAAAATAGGAAATCAGTACAATGAAGAAACAGGAAAAATAACTGAAATTCTCGGCGGCTCAACCGTCTTGATAATCAAAAGATTACCTTGAGACATGATATAAGACAGTACTAAAGTGCTGCACACAGTCTGCCACATAAACCCATACACCTACCGATCCATCCATCTATCCACCCATCCATGCACACCACCCATCCATACATCCACCCATCTATCTCCAGTAATAAAGAAACCTTGGCGTTATGCGAAGCATCAATGATAAGTGCGAATAGCCTGAGATAGCCACTTGATTCAGATCCACAGCAGAGGGCATTATGGTGGTACTTGACAAGGTTTGGGTATTAATTCTATTTTTTAGATTTACTATTAGACTTTTATGTGTCTATAAGGTGTATATGACATATTTTTATATACTCTTATAGATATTAATACATTTTCTTAGAAATAATAACATGGAAAATGCCATCAAATAATTTCAATTAATTTTTTAACATAAACATAGTCTAATATATAAGAATAAAAGAACATAAAAACATATGAATATTAGGAATATAAAAAAAATATAAGAATACAAGAAAATAATATAAGAACATAAGAATATTAGGAATATAAGAATATGTGGACAAACATATATATATGGACTTAATTCCAAAAATTAACTTTAAAAGCCAATTATAGTTTCTAATATTTAACAATATAACCATTGTAATGGCTTATTGTATTATAATATGATATTCCTATGGGAAATCCTTTGAAATAGGTGTAGAGAAACTGTCTACTATCTAGTTTCAAATTCTAAAGCTATTTTTATACAAAATTCAACTATTAAAATTATACTACTATGCTATTAAAACCCTGTCTAATTTATAAAAGATATCTGTATAGTATGTTAGCTATGCCTTTTTCTTCGGCTATTATACTCTTCAAGAAGATCAACCCAAAAGATCATATTGTTTATGTATCAAAGTATATATCTAAAATACATACATTGCAGCTTATACCCCTGAATATATGTTGCAGGCATTCTTGTTCAACATTTGACTTCTTTTCAATTTTAAATTGACAACAATTGCCGGCAATTTGCACTGGCGAATAAAAGCCTTCGACATCGACTGGCGAAAAGATCCGAATAAGACTAAGAAGCTGGCTGGGCTATGGAATAAACGCAAATGTCTGGGTCTGGGGCTTTGTTTTTGGAGACCTGCATAAATTTCCATTGAGCGCCGTGCAAGTAATTAGAAATGCAGGCGGGCTGTCTTGGAAAAATAGGGAAACTGGGTTAATTGCTAATTCCAGCAAGAAACAAAAGGAAAACTCTGATCGCAGGGTTCTAAAAAAATGTGTTTGCATATCGCATTGCTCACTGACTGCGTGGCCATTGGTCCCCGGAGCTACTGCAAATAATATGATTTTCTAAACTGATCTTTTGTAACTCTAGGTAGCTTTAGTTGCGCTTCGCTGACCGCCAGAGGGCGTCGCTTGGCTTGCAGCTCTGTGGTTATGCTGGCTTTCAGTTTCCAGCTTTCAGCTTTCCGCTTTGTTTTTCGCTGATTTGTTGATGTTTCGCCCTGAAATCGTATAGCATGCTTGTCATTCAATCTGCGAGGCTGCGAGGAAAGCAGCCAGTCCACCCGCACCCGCAGCCCGGAAAGTGCCAGGCAGGTTAATTATGAAACTGCAACTGCAACGCACGCGACACTTTATGAGGCGCAATTATCAGAGTCTGGAGCATCGGCAAGTGCCACATCGAGGCCGCGCAGCTTAGGATAGACATCTTCAAGAGCGCCGGCACACTCGCAATGAGGAATAATTCTTAGCTATTAGATATATTATTTAAATTGGGCTTGTTCGGGTGAGAGCCTTAAGACCATTAATGAGAAGTTCATTTTCTGTCTCTTGGGTTCTAAAAAGGGAGCATTTTATTGAAATAATCATGAATGCAATTAATTATTATATTATATTCATTTTGCTTTTAATAGGCTTTGCTTAAATATGGTGAGATATGGGATGGGCAGCTACTTTCCGAGCTGCCTTATAAAGGATGGGTAGGTTGTGTTAACCTTCAGGTTGGTTTTCGAGGAAGTAAACTTGTAATTAAATTTAGTTTTTGATGAGAAAATCTATGATAATTGTATATCCCATTTATTTATCTTCTATAAATATACGTACATATATATGTATGTAAATGTGATGTGATACCACTAACCATACAGCATATAGACAACCCATTTCATACAACGAAAATGGACGCGAAAATTTCTTGCGACAGGCCCCAGCAGGCCCCAGAGCGGATTTCTTACGCTCTCTTACGCTCATCGTTCGTTCATCTTACGCTCATTCTCTCATTAAATTTTTTCTGTTTCTCAGTCTCTAAACGGAGCGCGATGAAGAAGGTTGGCCTGCGCTTCGATCAACCGAATGTATGTATGCGTGTCACACATTCACTTACATGGGTGTATGTGTGCGTGCGATTTCGTTTCGAAGCCAGCGCACAAAATTTTGATTTTTCTTACTTTTCAGGCTTGCTACCCTAACCAAATTCGGGTATTCGTTATTTGATGAAATGACGAAAGAAATTATATTATTTTTATATTATATTTTTTATTATTTCAGCATACATTTTTAATTTATTTAGGAATAAGATTAAGTGTTAGTAGTAAAATGTTTTCTGTATATATATTTTTACGAATCATTAAAAATCAATATACTGAGAAAGTGTCAGAGTATATTTCAGTCGGAGTCACTTAAAACGCCGATTGCTTTTAAGTTTTTGTTGTTTTGCAAGAGGCTTGTGCATGCCTACTCTAACGATGGAATGATTTTTAGGGGAGGGTGAAGACACGAAAACAGCTGATGGACTTGTTTACCTTTTTGTTTACAATTTTTCAGGCACTTGTTATTATTTTGGGTTATTGTGAGATTTTATTAAATTATTGTCGTTAATTTAATAATTTCCCTATATATTTTGGAACTTTAAAAAGTCGCCGCTCGAATTTATAAATATTATAAATATATATATATATTTACATTGGTTTTATGCTTATGGATTCTTATATGGTTTTATGATCTATAGTGCATATCTTATTGTATGATCTGCTGTGTAATTTAAAATATATACATGAATATAAAAATGTCACTACCGTATTTACACACCGTCATTTCCCTGTGGCATGCCTTTGGAGTTCTTGGCAATGAAAGTGTTAACTTGCGCGCCAAAACTATTTTTTTTCTGGTTTGTTTTGATTCTTGTAATTTTTGGTTGCCACTTGGCTTACCCACCAACCTAATTTACCCGCCTAAAATATTGCCATTTGATGAAAAAGAGGAAAATGGTTTAATCGGCATTCTATTTTTGTTCTGTGAGGAGCGTTTTTCGTGAGGACCAAATTAAGTGCTGATTTTTGTGAACAAAGTGATTAGTATCGGTGTGTTAACGTATTTTTCGGAAATATTTTTACTAAACGTAAACTTTCCGAGCGTCCGTGGCTACATCATCATCAATTGCAAGTATAAATCTAGTTATTTAAACCTTAAATAATTTATTTAAATATTCGGTTTAAATATTTTTGAAATGAATCGGCCTAATGTTAGGAAAAATGGACGCAAGTGCATTATTGCATCCTGCCAGGGGAGTTACAGGGATTCATCACACTCCATTCCAATTAGATTGTTTTCTTTTCCATCGGATGATAGGAATCTTAAGAAATGGGTTGAATTGTGCCAATTGGATGACACTTTTAACAGACGAACTGCGCGAATTTGTAACAGACATTTTGAAAGTAAATATATTGGGAAAAGTAGGCTTAGAAGCAATGCCGTACCCACTTTAAATTTATGTGACAATTCACTATTGCGTCCGAACAGTACTGTTCCATGTGAACAATTTGAATTTTGTGATGATGGGGCGGAAGAACCAATTGGCACTTATATTAACCCAATAGGAAGAAAAGAGTTTTTGAATAGGGTAGGTAGCCCTTCCAATTTAGAAACTCCCAATTTAGAAAGTTCACCTCAGTTAGAAGATTTTTGTTCAAATTGCCAGAAGAGGGAAGAAAATGAGAGATTTTACAGAAAAAGAATTATGAGATGTCTCTTGAACTAAAAAATACAAAGAAAAAATGCAAAAAATGAGAAAAATTCTAGTAGACGCAAGGGTATGAGAAATAGTAGAAAAAGCACCCTAAATTTATTTAATATTATAAATAAATTACCTCATGTTTCTGATGAGGCCAAAACATTATGCAAAATGCTGCTAAAAAATCGAACTCATATAACAGCGCAGAAAAAGTGATAGCCCAGAATATAAATTTTTATTCTTCGCGAACGTATGAGTACATGAGGGATGTTTTAAAGTTAAAACTTCCTGCCAAAAGTACGTTGTGTCGATGGGCTCTTTTTAAAAATATGACGCCAGGATTTCAACCTGATTTTCTAGAAAACCTCCAGAAAATTGTTGGTGAAATGAGCGAGAAAGGTAAAGAAGCAGTGATCCTTTGTGATGAAATAAAAATCAAAAAAGGACTGCAATATAATACCGCTCTCGATGAAATTCAGGGATTTGAAAATGATGGTGAAAAAAGAACTCGATTTTTAGGGCAGCAAGTATGCGTCTTCATGGCTAGAGGCTTATTTGAAAATTGGAAGTACGTTTTAAGCTATACTGTTTCGGCTAACGGTATTAAGCATGATTGCCTCATGAAAAAAGTTGAAGCGAACATAGAAGTTTCGCAAACGTTGGGGTTAAACGTACATACGTGCCATAATATGCGATCAAGGCTCAAATAATAGAGCTGCATTTAAGAAATGGGGCGTTAGCATAAACAAGCCGAGTTTCAATGTTAACGGTAAAGAAATATTTACAATATTCGATGCCCCACATCTTATAAAATCATTGAGAAACCTTTTAATAAAAAATAATTTAAACACGCCGGATGGAGATGTATCTTGGGATATAATAAGGAAGTTATACCAAATTGAGTCTAGAAACT